AAGATAATATGACTTTATGGATCATTTATTATTATATTTCACTAATTAATATGTACTTTTACTACAATATTACAAGACATAAATCAATATATAGTCACTTTGCAGGCCCGTAGCCAGGATTTGCCAAGGGGGGGTTCAGTTTTCAAAAATTTCCAGGGGGGTTCACATTTGACAATTTTGGCCCAAATATGGCTAAAATCACTTGAGAAGTGCTCAAAATGGTGAAAAACTGCATGATTTTGAAAGAATCTTTGGCCAAGGGGGGGGGGGGGAAACCCTGCGAACCCCCCTGGCTACGGGCCTGCTTTGGTAAAGAACAAGTTAAGATCAGGATAAAATATGTTACATCAAAAGCTTAAACTGAATAGAATAAAATAAATACGAGATGATACGTGTACATTTGTGAAATAGATAGATCAATAGTACAGAGTGCATGTACTTTTGAGTTTCATTTCTAAATGGATTTCGAAAATGAGTTTTCTTGTGTTATGTCAAATATACATAATTTACTCGTGTATGATGTTTTTATTTTGGATTGCTTACAATTATATACTCGCTACCCATATTTTACATGTATCAATTACACTGCCCACTCATATAAAGCATGAATAAATGATGATGATATTTGTAAAATGTATCTATTATCATAAAGGATTCAATACATTGAAATATATTGATGTGACTTCATTTTGGAAATTATATCAAAGAAAATGTGGGAAAGAAATGAATCACATTCCCTCCACCTCTTAGTTAACTTTTGACTGCCATTACTGCCATCTATAGCTATCAACAGTGTTGCAAGCAAAGTATCCAGAATACATCAGCATTCAAATATGAACTTTTCATCTATATTCCAAATAAATAACAGTCCTTAACTACCATCCTAATACAGTGAAACATGTCTAGTGGATCACCCTTGGTACCTCTAAAGTGTTCCACTTGGGAGGTGTTCCACTTATAGAGGTACATTAAGTCAGTTGATCTTGGGACTCTGAAAGGTGTTTCACAAACAGAGGTGTTCCACTTGTAGAGGTGTTCCACTTTAAAGGTTTCACTGTATATAATACTTGACATACATTGATCAACAAAACCTCCATATATAAATTACCATAGTTATAACATTTTTAAAGAAAACCAATATTTGGCAATTTCCATGATTTGATTAAATAATCAATCAGATCTAATGAAGCGATGTGATTGGCCTATTTTATAATATCACTTGGGCAGTTACCATAAGTTTCTTCTCTATATTTATATTCCTCCACTGTCCATAAGTTAGTAATCTAAGCCACCAATTGTTTGTTGTTGTGCGTATTGCTATGGTAACATCAAGCTGTTTATTACATGATTACTTACACCTGGAAAATAAGTTTCTCATTTTATTCACTTCATACTAGCAATGTCAAAGGACTAGATTGAGTATGGCAACTTCAACTTTAAATACAAAGCCTCTTATATTTAAATTATAATCATTTATTTAAAACAGGTTTCTTCAAGTCATGATTGTCTGCATGAAATCCGAACTGTCCTTTAGCACATTAAAACAAAGCTTCATGGAGCAACTCTACAAGAAGTTTCAGATGACTAGCTCAACTAGATGCACTTTTGTGCACAAAAGTTCATTCTCTTGAAATTAAGGGGGAGAATTTATTTATTTGACACCCTGTACATGTACATGTACTAGAGTGGTTGAAAAGCAACAAATTAAATTAGTTCAATTTAAAACATCAGTAACATATCCTACAAAAAATGAAGTAAGTACCATAATATAAAAATATTTGTTAGTGATGACAGTGCCATCTATGCGGTCCCCACGTAGGATACTTCTTTTCCAGTTTTCTTTAATATCGAGAGGAGTTCTTCGCTACTTTTGTCTGATGTCACAAACACTTTCTGCTTATCAAGGTCAGCATCTATATTGGATTCTTCAACTGAAACAGAGAAAAAATATCTATTTTCTTTGGGTTTACCTCAACTTTTTTCATTTTTTTCAATTTTTAAAAGAGAAGCTGAGGCGAGTTGGTAGAACATAATCTTTGTTGTCTTAGGGGGCGAACTGGTATATGTTCATATTTCAGAAAATGAACACTTTTCTGGTTTTGGATGATATTTTCATTAGAACTTTCAAAATATTGAACCAAAATAGAGTCACGGTAGTTTATATTATTGTTTGTTTTGAAGGGCTCGCATACTCTGATTTGTTTTTTTTAAATATTGCCCTTTTTGCAAAACTCACTCAAATGTAGTATTTCACAGTAGTTCAGTTTTTTTCTATAATTCATATTTTCTTGAAAAAAAATCATGGTAAAAGATATACTGATCTTTAACAAAATATGTGAAAATTAGGAAAATTTACCATCTGGTTATTTCTCGAAAGAATATATAAAAAATTGTGATCTGGATCTTGAGAAAAAATCGATTTAAAAACTGACTGTGCAATAGTCATTGAAATATTACCTTTAGTGAATACAATGTACACAAGTCATTAATTTGTCTTTTTTATTTCTTTAAATTCTGTGATAACATAACCTCTGAAAGTGGAACACCTTGCAAGTGGAACACTTTTTGGCAGAACCAAGGGTGTTCCACTTATGCAGGTTTAAACTGAAACAATAGGGAGTTCATGAGTTTTAAACCCTTTGTAATTGTTTGACTTGACTTCTTAAAAGATAGCTTGGTCTTCACATTAAATTGTGACTAGACTCTACAAGGTACAAGGGTATCAGATAATTAGAGGTGTCACACCGACCCGGAGTCGACCCAAATCTCGGGTCGGAAGCCTCGGGTCACAAACAACTACTTATCGATTTCGGGTCGGGTCAGAACACTCGGGAATATTGTATATTATCGTAAAATGCTTTATATTCCCGGCAATAATTTTAAACTTCTAGCTGGCATATTTCTTGTATACGTATAAATTACTAAAATAAAATAATTTACAGTTCTTCTCTAACAATTTAATGCCAAGTTTCTATTATTTTTCCTTCATCAAAGTATCATTTTTCTGTTTTTTTCTGACATGACCCGAGATTACCCGACCCGGGATTTTTTTGTGACCTGAACTGACCCGAAGAATACCTGACCTGTGACACCTCTACAGATAATGGCTGTGCATGTACATGTTTATCATAGAGTCAATACTTACTTCCAGCCTTGCCTAGTACTTTAATGGCTGCTCCAGAGCATCCAGAACACGTCATTACCATGTTGAACTCGTGTTTCTATAAAAATCAAATTTGAGGAACATATTTCAATCAACTATTATAATGTTACTCTCTCAAATCAATCAATAAATAATTGGAAATGAAGTGCAGCAGTTGCAATAGGATTTGCACTCTGATGGGAAAAACCTAGGGAAATCAATCGTAAATGATAGCTTGTCTCTCATGTTTCAAGAAACATAACTTGAATCACACTATAGGCTACTAAGGATATAAACTTATTGTGCAATATAAGAAAATTTTCATATTGCATACAAATGACATTTGTTTATCTTTGATGCTTGTGAATTGGCTTATAAAGTCTGTAACCTCTTATATTTTGATGCTTCTCTGCCATGTTAATTCTGAAAAGATGACATGGCAGATAGACCTCAAATTACTAGAGACAGGCTTATTGCACTAAACTCTAAATAATCGCATATATATACAAATGTCGTCTGTGTATAGTATGAATGACTATGTTTTCCATATATTATCTGATCGTTGCACAATAATCTTTAGATTTCTTATCAGGTTCAACTGGTTGCTTTGAAGCAGTGTTACAAACTTTAGTTCGGTCATGCCGAAAATTTTCAACTTTTGAAATATATAAAGTGAGCTTTCATTGAAGGCTCTCAAACACCTCACGATGTACCATTGTGTTCTTTGGTATGCAGGGAGTAAGGGGGTATAGGTGAGTGAGTAAGGGGGGGGGGGGGGTTATGAACTCGTGTTCTGTGCCTGTGGTCATGGGTGATTCATATCCATTCTATTGATCATGACTGATTACATAGGTGAGCTGTAATTGATTGACTTGGAGCACAGGGGCTTGTCTCGAGGCGTCGGGCAAGCCCTCCGATGAGTCTACTGCTTATTAATAGTATTAAGGGTGTAGACTATATCCTATTTAGTCTGAATTATATTCAGACTATAAGGCACCTATGTTAAAGTTTGGTAATTCCAAATATTTGTTTACATAGGAAATGCTATTCAAAATGGCCGATTGGGTAAAATTAATTTGCACATTTGCTACTTCAGCTAGCTTTATTTCCACTAGACAATATGCTGTGTTACTTTTTATTGCATTTAATTGTACCTTACTATTTAATTGAAATTTTGTAATGTTTATTTTATTGAAAAATTGTTTCCTCCAATTGATAATTTTGTGCAAAAAATTTCACTGCAATTTCCACAGGAAAGTAGTACATCATAACAGACTGACTTCTGTCAGTCTGTTGGATACATACTAATAATACTATTAATAAGCAGTAGACTCATCGGAGGGCTTGCCCGACGCCTCGAGACAAGCCCCTGTGACTTGGAGTGGAAGTCTGGCACAAAATAAACAGAATGACATGAGCATTTTTGGTCTTTGAAATCTCAAGTTCTACCTCTAATTCTACTTTTTATAACACCAGATCAGAATGCAAATTTGTATTCATATTATGTTCGACACTTGCAAGAACATTTTGTAATAGATAGGGCCTAGCAAATTGGGAAAATATGGAGAAGCTTACCGTGGACATTTTCACTTTTAAAAGTAGGTCAAACTGTGTTTCTCAATTATGGTTTGTCAATAGGGATCACAAAATATAACTAAATTTTAGACGAAACATTTATAGATTTTGAAAATTATCATAATTTATCTCTGCGTATAATAGTTCTGTATGATATATTGATATACCATTGTAATGATCATTTGATAAATGGTAAAATATTAGTTAAAGTATACCGTATATCGTGATTCTTACTAGGTAGTCCGAGTCATATGATAAAAAAAAAAAATCTTTTTTCCGAGTTTGTGTTTCTACTTCCTCATTTTGCCTAAAATGTACGTCAACATATTGTGTCTGACGTTGATGTTGGCTTTGACATGTGTATCAGCACAGGTTCCACCAGTAAGTAAATTATTATAAATATATTTTTGTTCTAAAAGCTCGAACAATTGGTATATGCCCCATTATCGCCCACCGATTTTCACTTAGATCTATTATTTATTTGCACTACACTCTAACGACGTAGCGTTATTTTGTGTGTTGTTTTCTTTCAGTTTACTGAGAAGTGTGTACAAGGCACTTACCCTCCTGATCTAAGGTACAGTGGCATTCACCCTAAATGATTCATTTCTGCATGTTCATTATCTGTTGTTTGTTTGTTTGTCTCCTTTAGAGCGTTAATATGTCACTCAAGCATAACATTTTTTTCGGGGGGAGGGGATTCTACACAAGCCACTGATTTGTGTCCAGTCAAGACATTAGCAGCATTCTACTGCTGCCTTTTTTACAAGGGACAGTTAATTCCCTATGTCCCGACACCTTTCCCGCCCTATGTACAGTATTACCATGTCATTCTTTATTTTTGAGTGCAAAGTGAGGAATTCGAATGTCTCTGATTTACAGATCTGTATGTGCCACAAACAATAAACAGGGCTATCAACTGTCCCACAATTTGTGTATTTGTCATGCATTTACTGAAGAAATTGAAGCCACATCTGAAACATTGAAACATTCAAAAGTTATCCTCACTTCACTGTCTCCATGCTAGCTTTAGGGACCCATGCACCTCCAATTTATAGTTAAAATGTGAAGTTTTGTTTGACATGTCTTTTTAGTCAGGAAATGCATTCACATATAAGGAAAACATATACAAAATCTTGTGACTTTATCAAAAAATATGGCTGCCATTTTTTGTACTTTTGATTAACTTTAATGCCACCTTAAATGCAGTTATTTGAAATTTTGACGTGAATACCAAAAAACAAAGGCAGATCATTCAGAATTTCCATGCGAATTGCGTATATGTCACGCCTTTGATTCAAATTTTCTTGTTCCTATACTTCCCCCTTGATGGAGATATTTGAGGTGTTGAAAATTTGGATATATACTGTATATATGTATGAAATAAAATTTGAACCAAGGTGTTCAAAATTTGGACAAAAGTGTTCACAATTTGAAGGAAGGTGTTCAATGTTTGTAAGTCACTCATTTTAGGTGTTCCCAGGTTGACAGGCCTGATTAAAACAATATGATAATTACAATATATAGATCTTAGAAAAATTTTGTGTTATAGTCGGAAAGTGCCAACAGTTATCATAAACCTAGATCTAAAACCACAAGACAGATGGACCCATGTTGTGAAAGATATGAAACCACAGGTAAAATCAACTAACATTAATTACTCTTTTTCATCTCAAATATGTGAAATAAAGTTCCACCATTAAAACAAATTATACTATCCCATTGTCACCTGAAGAAGAAGGTTCTCTGCTCAATTCCTCTTTTATTCATCTCCAATATGATAGGGTCAGGGTATCACATATTGTTTAATGTCTTTTCCTTCTCAGATTTTATTTCTCTTATAAATTCTAACCTTTCACTCTACTTTACATAACCCCTAGAAATGCATAAGAGGCCCCCATAAGATACTTTGTTAGTTTGATTGTATTGTTTAGTGTATTTTTATTCCATCGAACGAAGTTCGTAGGGATATAGGGAACGCCTCCGTCCGTCCGTCCGTACGTACGTCCGTCCGTCCGTCCGTCCATCTGTCCGTCCATCCGTCCGGGCAATAACTCAAATACCGTTGGCCCGATTTTGTTCATATTTTGTACACATATACCCTATGGGGGTAGAAGTTCTGCTAAAAAGCCGATTTTCAAAATGGCCGCTCATTTAAAAATGGCGGCCATTTTAGTGCCGATTTTACAGTAATTTAGGTGCAATGTGTAAAACTGTGATAGCATTATGTTTTAAATGTAAAAAAATTATATAGGACATTGATAAGCTAGAAATGTAGAAATTAAAATAGCACATGGCAGCCATCTTGAAAAATGGCGGCCTTTACTCGTTATTTATTAGTGGAGCGATTTTGTTCATATTTGGTTTGTGAATACTATAAGCATGGCACACTGTCTAATGACATTTTTGGTAGAAGGCGGCCATTTTGAAAAATGGCCACCATTTTAAAGTATTTTACTGTAACTCGAAAAGTAGTGGAGCGATTTTGTTCATATTTGCCATGTGAATACTATAAAAAAGCATATTACTTCTTCTGATGACAAAAAATGGAATTTGAAAAATGGCCGCCATTTAAACGTATTTTACTCGGCCTTTACTCGTTATTTTACGATTTTTGCTGTAACTTGAAAAGTAGTGGAGCAATTTTGTTCATATTTGGTATTCGAATACTATTAGCATGGCACACTGTCTTATGACACTTTTGGTAGAAGGCGGCCATTTTGAAAAATGGCCACCATTTTAAAGTATTTTACTATAACTCGAAAAGTAGTGGAGCGATTTTGTTCATATTTGGCATGTGAATACTATAAAAAAGCATATTACTTCTTCTGATGACAACTTTGTTATGTATGTTATTTTATGATATTTGCTATATATTTCGTTTGTAAAAATGCCAGCTATTTCTGTTCGATGGGATTCGCTACGCTTTGGCATTGCCGTTGTTCTGGTTGAAAGTACCTTGTTAAAATCTAGCAGTCATTCGATAAACCATTCGTAAGGAACAGACACCTAAAAACAAATAAAATAACATAATAACTACTAATAATCCAAATGGGTTGCTTATGAACACCAAATGCAAGGTAAAGTAGAGTGCCTTTACTTTCAGATTGAAGACTTACTTGTTGCCTTCAAGAGTTTCATCAGAGATTTTGGGAACTGGACTGAAGCTATCATAAAGCTTGTGGACAATGATTTTGTAAGTACTAAGTATTACAGAGTTTGAATGGGAAGCCATTCCAAATTATCTAAAAAGTGCACCATCAAGAGTCACTTTCAAAACCAATTTACGTAAATATTCAGGGAGAATGAAGCATTTAACAACCACAAACTTGGATCTTACAAGAAAAGAAGAAATTTTACAGAATAGAACAAGATGTGATTTCATTTTTACTGGTCATCTTTTTCAACATAATTTTCAAGGTATTGACAGTCCCAAATGCATCTGTGGTTTTAAACAACAAACTACAAAGCATCTAATCTTCAAATGCCCTCTCTTGAATGTTATAAGAGAGAAACTTTGGGGGGGAACTCAAGAACATGCCAGAAATGAACATTTTCTTTACAGGATGCTCTATAGAGCAAAAGCTGAATATCTTAATGTATGGCAGAGATGGAGTTAGCATAACATGCAATTCTTCAATATTGAAGCATTTTACATCCTTTTTGTGTGAATGCATTGATATAATTATATAGTTTTTAACACATTCCTGCCATGCATACATACATGTTGGTAGTCATTTTGTTGCTATTTTGTAAATATGAATAAATTTTTTGTATTAACAGGGCCAATAATGCTGATTTCAGCCTCGGCCCTGTCATTTGTAGATAGTTTTGTAAAGTAAAATAAAGAAACCATAAAAACTAACAGAGTTTGCAAGTACATGCGAACTCAGTATTTTACAGAGTTATCTGGTAGTATGGTGACTTAGCAAGTACATGTGAACCCAGTATTTTACAGAGTTATCTGGTAGTATAGTGACTTAGCAATTACATGTGAACTCAGTATTTTACTGAGTTATCTGATAGTATGGTGACTTAGCAATTACATGTGAACCCAGTATTTATAGAGTTATCTGGTAGTATGGTTACTTTGCAATGACATGTGAACTCAGTATTTTACTGAGTTATCTGATAGTATGGTGACTTTGCAATTACATGTGAACTCAGTATTTTACTGAGTTATCTGATAGTATGGTGACTTTGCAAGAACATGCAAGCTCAGTATTTTACAGAGTTATCTGGTAGTATGGTGACTTAGCAATTACATGTGAACTCAGTATTTTACTGAGTTATCTGGTAGTATGGTGACTTTGCAATTACATGTGAACTCAGTATTTTACTGAGTTATCTGATAGTATGGTGACTTTGCAAGTACATGTGAACTCAGTATTTTACTGAGTTATCTGGTAGTATGGTGACTTAGCAATTACATGTGAACTCAGTATTTTACAGAGTTATCTGGTAGTATGGTGACTTTGCAAGTACATGTGAACTCAGTATTTTACAGAGATATCTGGTAGTATGGTGACTTTGCAAGTACATGTGAACCCAGTATTTCACAGAGTTAACCAGTAGTATGGTGACTTTGCAAGTACATGTGAACTCAGTATTTTACAGAGTTATCTGGTACAGTAAAACCTGTAAAAATGGAATGCCTTTGGCACATCAAAGTAGTGTTCATTTTAAGAGGTGATCTACTTCCCAAGGTGAATTTTACATTAAGTTCATTGTTAACTAAAGCAGGTGTTCGATTATCTACAGAGGTGTTCCACTTTACAGGTTTAACTGTATGTTCTACTTTTTGTCTTGTTAATTATGATAAATTGTCAAAGGGATCTTTTGGGAAGTGGGCTAGATTGATACCCTGCGTGCAGAGTCTAGTTAAATTACAGAAGAAGCTCTCTTTTAAGAAGTGAAGTCAAACGAATGCAAAGGGTACTAGATTGATTACTTCTCCATATCACTGATTTGATTGAAAAAATGATTATTGTTATTCCAGGGTTATTTAGCAGATGAACTTCCAGCTCCTTATGGCGATGAGTTGAAAGGAATTGCGACTGCTTCTGGACTGCCATTGGGTAGGAATTAGTATAATTTTTAGTATTTGATTTAATTTGATATTTTATACATAATATTGGATAATCATATAGGGAGTAAATTCATATAATGCAATTTTTTCCCTAGATCAATAGATCAAAAGGTTGTCTGTAAGAATTAATTGTTCAAAAATGTCTCAGTTTTATATAGTAGTGTCAGGTCAATGTTGATAGCTCTTTAGAAGCATAGCACTAATGTGTATGCCACTTTTCAGGTGAAGTGGTACTGTACAACATCTTCTATGAGATCTTCACTGTATGTACATCTATAGTTGGGCAAGACTTGAATGGAAGGATGTACCATGCCAGAAACCTGGACTTTGGTCTCTTTCTTGGGTATGATTTAGTATATACATGTAATGAATGAAAGCAAGGAATAGAAAGTGCAAGACTTTTGAATCATGACTTTCAAAAGAATGTCAATGTTTCCTGTTAATTTTGTTATCCAAAAAAGGATTCATTTTTTGATCAAATATATGAAGTTCGAGAATTCAAGATGCAAAAATGTCTAAATTCATCAGAATTGAAATATAGGACTTTTACTGTTTTCAATATTATTGCAAGATAACCTTAAAAATATATTAAAGGATGATCATGAAAATAAGTAACAATTATTGGACTTGGAATTCTGATGTAACTAGCAAAAAGGATATACATGTAACGTAGCTGATCTCTCAAAAAATAGATTGCCTGATAATCACTCGGACACACTTAACCACTTTCCCACGTATCAAACACTGATTCCCATGGGATCAACTTTTAAAATATGCTTTTAACGATTTCAGCTGGGACATTAAAAACAACACATGGGAAATAACAGAGAAGTTACGCCCCACTATCAGGATTCTGGAGTTTCAGAGAAGTGGTAAAACATTGTACAAAACTGTCAACTATCTTGGCTACATTGGTGTATTGACCGGGATTAGACCTGTAAGCATTTTTAGAGTTCTTATTGTATCCCAAATATTTTTAGTCTCATTTCTGGGAATATTTTATTCTGTGTGGTTAGTAGAATCTCCTGTGTTACTTTTGATCACATATTTTTTTCATCCGTCAAATGCAAACTGTTGAATAAAAATTATTTTTGTTTCAGGGAGTGTTTACATTGACTATGAATGAAAGATTCAACATTGATGGTGGATTTGTGGGTATGGAGCTCCCTTTGCATTAATTCAAATAGTTGGTCATGTGTTTTATGGGTTGAAGACTTGTAAAATAAAATAGCAGATGAAAATAGCCTAAAATAGATTTAAGTGTCTGATCATTTAGCTTTAAAAATGAATCTGAGTATTACTAGATCTAGTATATAATGCGCTTATAAAGTCTAAGATTTTTGCAATTGAATGAAAGCTTGTATAAATCAGAAATGTGCTTCTAAAAGTTTTCTTAACAAATTAGAAAGCAAGTTGGGCTTTTTCTCAATTCTACCTTACTTACACATACGTTTTGTCACTCACATCTGACCAGTGTTCATTTCTCTTTACCAGGAATCTTTGAGTGGTTGCTAGGTAACCACACTGGCCAATGGATGAGTTTCCTCACCCGCGACACCCTTGAGCAGGCTGCTAGCTACGATGATGCTAAAGATAGACTGGCAAACACCCCAATGTTGGCTCCTGCATATTATATACTTGGGGGCACAAAACCTGGGCAGGTATGCAGTTTAAGAATCCTTTAAAATTCCATTTATATTTGATTCAGGTCACCTAACAAAGTCAACTGGAGGTGCTTGCAAAGAACCTAGTGAAAAATAATTGTGCCCTTGATATACATTTGGACATTCTGTATAATCTTATCATGCCCATGTCCAACTTTTGCCAAGGGGGTTCATTTATCAAAAATAATTCCAGGGGGGGGGGCTCACTTTTGACAACTTTGGCCCAAAACCACTTGAAAAGAACTCAGAAAAGTGATAAACTGCAGGATTTGGAAGATTATTTGGCCAGAACCCCCGAACCCCCCTGGCTATGGGCCTGATCTTTTGAATTGCTTTTGATAAAATTGTTGATATATTTGTCATGTGTGAATGTTAGCCTGAAACCTCTTGAGAGGCAATTAAAGACACATGTTGCATTGATTGTGAGGCTAAACACTCAACCTAATCTCATCCTTAACTTAACTGTATAATTGCAACTCATGTCAGGATTCACAACTTAGGTTGAAATCATGATTGCACAGTATAACACATTGGCATTCGGTCCACTGCCCAATAGGCAACTCATATATCCAAGTTTATTGTCAAGAGTGTTATCTGATTGTTAATGACAGTATGAGCAGCTGTGAGTTTCGACCCATGACTCATTAACATATTTGTCTAGGGATGCGTCATCACAAGATCTCGCCAGAAGGCTATTGATGTCTGGGAGATGTCATCCCAACCTGCTAACTCATGGTATATACTGGAGACCAACTATGACCATTGGAAGAAGCCAATGTTCCTCGACGACAGACGAACACCTGCAAATAAGTGCATGCAGAAACTGACGCAAAAAGTATGTTCTTTCATTCCATTTTATTTTATTCTATGAAAATTATTTTATTCAACATAGAAACTATGGAAATGATAATTACATTTAAGTAAAGATTTAAAGTACATTTGATTGTTGTTTTTTTGTACTGTAATGTGGGTATCAGTTTAAGTGGAGTTGCCTGTCATCTACTATAGTTTTTAAGAGTTATGAGACTGCTCTTAGATCAGAATATAACATATATTACAGGCCCGTAGCCAGGATTTGCCAAGGGGGTTCACCTTTTGAAAAATTCCAGGGGGGTTCACTTGTGACAATTTTGGTCCAAAAATAGCCAAAATCACTTAAAAAGTGCTCAGAATGGTGAAAAACTGCATGATTTTGAAAGATTTTTTGGCCAGAGGGGGTTCACTCGAACCCATCGAACCCCCCCTGGCTATGGGCCTGTATTATATGACCTACACTCTTGTATTATGGTAAACTACAACTATATTACACTATTATTGTTCACCAATGTTTGCAGGGAATGGGTATTGCAGGCATATATGATGTGCTGTCCTCCAAACCTGTGCTAAACAAGGTAATTAAAATCACTGAATTAAATTGATCCCATAATTACATAATACTAATTATACTTTAGAATAGATGTGTTCCACTTATAGAGGTTTAAATGTACACACAAAGTGATGACATCATGACTCAATTAAATTAATAGTTTCATATAAACATCAAATAATGAAGATTTTACATCAAAATCAAGATTGTTAACATTTATTTGTAGCACATATATTACATAGAGTTGTGACATCATAAAGAACACACAATGCTTCTTGAAGACAAAATAATTAAGTTTTTTCTATTTATCCATGATTTTACTGATATTTTACTTGAAAGTCATTAATGAAACATGCACTGGTCATTGTTGAAACAATTTATATTTAGCATACTGATGCAATATATGAGTTGACTTTCATAACTGTGTGTTTCAGTTGACGACATACACTGCTCTGATGCAAGTTGACTCAGGTCATCTTGAATGCTGGCTGCAGTACTGTCCGGACCCCTGCTACCCATTCTAAGCATCTGGACCCCTTCAACACATTCTAAGCATCACAAAACTCCAGCAAGGTCACATACTTCATGCTTTTTCCTGTAATACCATGAAATGAGAGGAACAAGTATGGATTATAGGAACTAACATGATGTTAACATTCTGTGATATGATTTCAATGCTCAATGATAATTTTTACTGGTCGATCCCGATTCATAGAATGTGCTTTGAACTTTTTAATGTGAATGTGATTTACATGTGCAGTATTTGTGCCATAAGACTAGACGCTATCATATAGCATTTAAAATGCATTACAGTGAACTGCTTTTTAGTCCCAATTTCAATATAATATTGAGGAAATTGAAGGATTTTTTGTGAAATAGACTTGTAGACAATCCAGTATATGTCAGTATATGTATATTTCCTGTATTTCACGTTGATCATAGGAATCTTCAGTATATAGTTAAAAGCAACTCTACAAGTGTAGATGATTTCACAATTTACAAAGCTACTCATGCAGGACATGATTCATTGGCTGTGGTTGTTGAATCATGTATGCTTATCTAAGGCATTGGGTCAGATATCAGTTTTTGGTGGTGTAATAAAACCTAGGTTTTGATACAAAGGAATTGAACATTGAGTGGGAGATAATAACTTCAAATGTTGAGTCTTGAGTATTTGACTCAAAACTAATTGATATTTTGATATTTCAGAGGATATTGTGCCAAAGTGATATATATTATTCAACAGTTTATAAGAAAATCGAATATGAAAAACACCATTGTCAATATCATTTCAAACTTGTTCAACTAAACTGCCTCTTTAAGATTTCTGATTTTCATCTGTTTTGATCTGTAACATTAATTTGACATTGGTATTTTGTATTATATACTTGAAAAAGTAATGTTGAAACAATGCAAAATATGTATATTTTAATTTTATATTTATTGAAATATAAAAATACAGGAAATAACAATGTTTTACGTCAATAAATAGATACAATATTTAGAATAAATTTTACAAATATTTCATTCTATTGAGGTGAATATCTGTGTATCTTTCACAAGTCATGTTTTATTTGTGAAACTGGCACAGGTGTCTACCAAAAATAGAATGAAATGTTTGTTTTATGATTCACCAATTTATTCCCCACTCTCTGATTGGTTCATGAGGTGTTTCAAACACAGTTTCTAAAAATATACAGCTTTTAAAGCCCTTTAACGTTGATAAAAATAAATATCAGTTGACAATAGAATTGAAATACATATATACCTGGTCAATGTGCTTTTTTATGACATTACATTTTTTAAACGATTTTAAAAATTATGCTGTATGGTATTTCCAATTCCAAGTCACGTTGACTTGGAGATGAACCAACCAGAGAGGGAAGAATATAATAGTGATCTATTAATTACATTTTAAAGGGACTTGCTTGAAATCTTGCTTGCTGATCACAAGCTATAATACTGACATTTTGCAATCAACTACTGGTCCTTGCATTGTCATAATAAAGAAATACTGGTATTGACTTGGTCCTCGGCTGATTATAAGGTATAACCATTAAAAGGCCCCATGCAAAGTTTAAAGTTTCATCATTTATATTCATGACTAAGTCTTATTTAAACATTTTTCATTCAATATGCAAGTGAATAGAGAAAAAATTGTCAAGAAAATTAATTTAAAAATGTTACACATAACTTTTGGTAGACTTCAATATTAGCCAAACAGGTTTCAACTTTACAAATGGCCTTTAAAAGTAATTTAAAAGGAAATATTGATAATTTCATACTTTGCTATAATCCTAATAGGAAATCATGAAACAAATTAGCAGGTGGTTTCAAATGACTACAAAGGCAAATTTTATACTACGAAATGCCAACTTAGTCTCTAAAGTACCAAGGAGTCAATTATCAAACTGCAAGAGAAAACTTTGAGCAATAAACTGATCCTAAAACTTCCAGTTTGCTGGTGGTATACAAAGATATATATCTAGTCCCATTTCTTTCAATGCTTGCTGATGTTGTTTAAAATCGATGACGACATCATCTTTGTACCCGCACCACTCAACATAGGAGTGTAAGTCCTTCTGTAAGGTCTCCTGATCAGGGTACGGGTAAACTGTCTCTCTTATATAACCTTTCACTTTGTCATTTGCATGCTGGGCAAAAAATGTCTTCTTTAACATAATCACTTCTGCTCCTCTGCTTACCTGTAAAAAAGGAATAGAACTCAAAAAGGAGTTTTAAAATACACATGAAATGCATACCGGTATGTACATGTATATTTTGATGTAAAAAATGGAATTTGGAAATAAAATTCTCAGATTTTTTTCAGATCGGATGTGAAATTCTAGAAATATTTTCAAAGGAAGTAGAAGTAGGGATCGAGAGTGAAAAATGTTGAAAGCAATATTTTTGAAAATCACGCCATTTGTTCCTTTAACATCCTAATTTTATTTTCCGAAAAAAAAGAAATGAGGCACCTCTTTTAGACCTGATCTAATAAGAAATATTGAAATGCTTGTCTGGGAATCATTTAGAAATGATGAGAGCAAATAATATTGCAAAATTCGGACAATTTGTATGAAACTTACTCTCAACTCTGACTACACTCCCAATCAAGAATACATAAAAATCTTTCAAGTACATGTATATTGAATTCTTACCAAACTAAAGCTTGGTTGCTCATAGGCCAAGTCATCATCAAACTTAACAGTTGGGAGACCCTGGAAATAAACATATATGTTTTAGTTTACTTTGGTCTGCGACTTTTGAAAATATTTTTGGGCTTTAGATATTAGTTACTGTTTGATTTTTTTAATATTGGTGCCATTTCTCTTTTTGAAATGGAGGTAATTCATTACTAATGTTAAGGCCGAAATTTATAGTAGTGCTCCGCCCTGATCCACATGTGCTGGTTGTTCTTAAAATAAGTTTGTTCCAAAAGTGAATACTTCTAAATTAAAACTTCGTGTTAAATCAATTGAATTGTTGAATATTTCACCATACTGTGTATAGTGAAGCAGAACTTAACTTGCAGTTTTATTGGACAATCAGAATAACAAAAACCCAATGTACTCACAAACACATCTCTTGCCTGCAGGAGATCAACTTGGACAAACACCTCTTCATTTTCACCATCCTCCTCACAGGGTTCTTCTAACGTAGGTTTTTGACTCTCTGCTGTACGTGCACGTTGCTTCAGTATTGACTTATGTGTAGTGTCTTTTTGGACCTCTTGTCTATCAGCCTGACGTACCTTAAATATAGTCAGATAGTAGAAAGATATATATACTCCATACATGGACTGTAGCTAGGCGTGAGCCAGTGAGGCAAATATTACAGAAATATACATTAGACACTAGTATCTTTTTTTTTAATCTTTTTACTTGCTACATCACCAAGTCCGTCTAGGGGAATCTACAATTGGAGAACTTACTTATCACACCCCTACCAAACTTATTCACTAGGATAATAAATACTCCTCACTATACTACACTGTTATAAACTCACCATATGTGGTTTACTCAGTTTAGGAAGAATCAACCTAGACATGGAGTACCCAGGTTGACCCAGTTTAGATGGAGATTCAGGCTCAGGAGGTGGCGTGGGTAATTTTTTAGTTTTACGTTTACGTCGTATTTTCCTGATTCGTCTCCATTCTGAATCATCGCTTTCGTGTGAGCTATCACTGGCTTCGCTGGTAGATTCCTTGTTAGCGTCATCAATGTTGAAGACAACGGTTTTGTGGGTGTCTTGGTTGAGATCTGAGTCACATATATTCTGAAGGGAGAACTGTCGATGTTAATATTTGATTCATCAGAATATACCTGATACCCGATGCTCTATACTTAACATTGTTTTTCTCTTACAAAATGTATTTTCTACTGACTAAATGTTTTTGCTTGGGATCATCACAAGGTCAATATACTTAATAAATTTCTGTTTGGATGCCTTTAAACTGATTCTATCATATAAGATGGTGAGTCAACCACTTACCCCTCCATTTTGGTGGAGCAGGAATTCTGTCATTGCACGTTGTATGGGGGAGGGGCAGGTAGGTAGGCTTTCATCCCAGCCTTGCGATGCCCTGTGGCAGTCAACCTTTGGCCCTAGTGGAAAAATTTATACACATTTTATATATTTAAACAATGTACAACCTTTAATTATTGCAGTGCTGTATATGAATTGTGAATTCACATTTTTGGAAATGAATGTGCTAGCAAAACTCACGAAATACAAGGCTTTAACATGCAAAATGTCACCACCTGCCATTTGATACAGACAAAGAGCACCAACTGCTGACTACCATCCACAAAACAGTTGGAGACTATAACAATATGTCAACACTAATGGTGGTGACATAAAAATGCATGATTTCATAGAGGTATTATTTACCCTGGGGCCGAGAAGATTAAGTTTACTACTCTCTGATTAGGAAAAATATGTACAGTTCAATGCTGATAAGATCTTAACCTCTTTGGTGCCGTTACGACATATATGTCGTTTCCCGTCTTCGTGCCATTACGACATATATGTCGTTTCAACGTGAGAATTTCTTGAAGTACAGACCTTTGATTATATCTGGTGTCCCAAAAAAATGAGACACTTTTTGCCAAGTATTTTCTCGGCAACTGATGAACCAAATTTTTTGAAAATTTGTACAAAGTAGCCCAGGAGTATCGTTAGCAAGGTCCAGAAATATGACAAAGATCAGATAAATATTATGCGAGTATTAAGAAATTCAAGATAGCATGTCAAAATGTCCCATACCGGAGCAATACAATAAGAATTTTCATCGCGTTTGTACCAAAAATGGGAAGGAATTAGACAAGTGATTTCTCAGCAATAGATGAGCCAAATTATTTGAAAACTTTACTTGAGGCACTTTAGGGTATTTTCTGCTCGTGCTATAAATATGTAAGAGATTGGTTTCATATTATGTGTGTATTGTTGAATTAGAAACAGTATGTAAAAATAACCAATATCGATGTAAATCTCACTTATTAATCCTTTTCATGCAAAATACCTTTCCGTATTTATTCTTAACAATATCACCTCAAATGAATTTTGAGAATGAATGGATTTTCGATATATGGGAAGAATGAAATGAATTAAGTAGACATGACACACAGACAAGCTATTTTGACTTATTTACAAATGCTATCACCTGATAGCTGGTGGAAACACTGTAGAGGTCTCATCGCATGGTATGGTATATCCGGTATGGGGATATTTGACATGCTATTTTGAATCTCTTATTACTCTGAGAATATTTACTTGATTTATTTTATATTTGTACAACTTGCTAATGATACTCTCAGGCTAATTTGTACAAATTCTCAGTGAATTTGGTTTATTAGTTGCCGAGAAAATACTTGGCAAAAAGTGTCTCATTTTTTTTGGGACACCCGATATATGCTTATTTATTTGTTTTATCAACCAATCAACCACACAGATAAATAAATGTAGGCAAAGTAGTTGCGTAGAACTTGTTTACAATGTATAATTTACCCAGAGAGAGGAGAAATCATGCATAGAAGCAGAGAAAAATTACCTGAATCAAATCTTTCGAAAATTTAGAGTAGTTGTAATGACCTTTCATGAGGGTTTCAATATGAAATAAATGAAGCATTGAAATATATATGTGACTCCAATTCCGATTATGCAAAGATTTTGCATTTGCAAAGAATTTTGATTTTTTTGAAAAATTCAAGTGAAAGGCAAATCAAGATTTGGACAGATTTGATCCCCAAAGCAAGCCACGAGTGTTCTTTTACCTGGGTCTGCTGTACCAAGTCTAGGAAACTGTTGAGATCTTTGGGGTGCTGACTGTGACTTTCTGATGGAGCTCAGCTTCACTGCCTTCAGCTTCTTCATCACCTGACATGTACCCTAGCAACACATTAGTTACATTAAACACATGTATCCTAGCAACACATTAGTTACATTAAACAAATGTACCCTAGCAACACACTAGTTACATCAAATACATGTACCCTAGCAACACATTAGTTACATTAAATACATGTAGCCTAGCAACACATTAGTTACATTAAACAAATGTACTCTAGTAACACATTAATTACAATAAATATCTGTGCCCTAGCAAAACATTAGTTGCATTAAATACATGTACCCTAGCAACAAATTAGTGACATTAAATACATGTACCCTAGCAACACATTAGTTACATAAAACACATGTACCCTAGCATCACATTAGTTACATTAAATACATGTACCCTTGCAACACATTAGTTACATTAAACAAATGATTCTAGTAACACATAATTACATTAAATATCTGTATCCTAGCAACACATTAGTTACATTAAATACATACATGTATACCCTAGCAACACATTAGTTACATTAAATACATATACCCTAACAACACATTAGTTACATAAAATACATGTACCCTAACAACACATTAGTTACATTAAACACATGTAAATGAACCACACACATTATGCATGATTATACTGTAGTGTGATTCTGTACTTATATTTTCATTGTAAAATGAACAACTACATTGATTAACTTTATAGTTTAGTTTAGTTTAAGTTTAAAAATAGTTTATTTAAGTCACACACATATAATACAAATAAAATACATAAGATAAAATACAAATCAACAAATATGTCCAGCCGTTGCCGACTTATGAGTGACTACAGGTAAATGCGTCTTCTACGCCACATTTTAAAAATACATTTGCTTAAGATAAAACTATTACAGGAAGTCATTATATTACAATATTGAGCTAAAGCATTTAAATTAAAAAAATCTTTGTCAATTGATAACATGTATTCTAAAATTTCGTTTCTTAAATCTGTGTATAATGAACATTCTGTCAAAAAATGAATCTCTGACTCAACAACTTGAGAATTGCACATTTTACATAACCGTTCCTGTGATGGTGTTTTAGGATTAGTATATCGTCCTATTTCAATATTCAAAGGTAGTGTACCACACCTTAAAGATGCTAAAACCTTTCTATAGGGTCTTGGTAAATTTGTTTCAACATAGTTTTCTGTATATAAACGTTGTTTATGTAATCTATAGGTGCGTAATTTGTTACCATTTTCACAGTTGTTCTTATCGTTCCATAGATCCCTGTACCAGTGTAATTGTTCTGATTCTACATATTTTCTATGAAACGATTTCACCACGTTTTTTACCTGTGGTACCAATGTACAGTTAACAGAACTGATATTCCTAAGATCATTCACATTTAGAATTCTTTTGACCCATTGTTCCCACGATTTTTCTCTGTTTCTAGACCAATTAAATATTTTCTTGGTAAGTCTGTTTTGTTTCATATTTATGAGTCTACACCATAAACGCACTGGCTCTTTTAACTGTATACTATAGAATGATGGCCAACCTATGTCGCCCTCTACAGCAGCGGTAGGAGAAAATTTGTTCACACCAAGAAAAAATCTGGCTGCTCTATTTTGTACACTCGTTAAAACTGCCTGTGGTTTGGTGCCCCAAACTCCCGCGCCATAAGTCAAAATTGGTAACACTAGTGATTTATATAATCTATCGAATACATCAAAAGAAAAACCACCTGTTTTATATGATTTTGCAATCAATACACCGAGTGCTCTGTTTGCTGATGATGCCAATGTCTTGATTGCAGTCTTAAAAGTGAGATGCTCGTCAAAAAATAACCCTAAGTACTTGTATTCATTTACAACTGTGAGTGTGTTTAAATTGCACAAAAACATAAAATTAGATCTTTCTACATTGTCAAGCCTGAAATGTACCACCTGTGTTTTCTCATTGTTAACATTTAACCTCCAGTTATTACACCACTCAGTAAGTTTACATAACATGAGTTGAAGGTCATGTTCTGTGGCTGCAATCAGTGCAATGTCATCTGCATATAATAATATCGACACATATTCACCTTCATTACATTCCACACCAAGGTTCAGTTGTTTAATTTCAGACACGAGGGAGTTAATATATATGGAAAATAATATCGGTGATAACTTACATCCCTGCTTGACACCTTTAGATATAGGGAACCAGTCAGTTAATACACCATTTATACGAACGGCACCTTGTACATTTTCATATAGTGAAAGAATTGCCTTAAACATATATAATATCTAAATAATAAGTAGCCTTGCCCAACCAAATGATATGTAATTGTAAAAGAAACTATTGTTTTATTGGTCAAGTTTTCTTGGGGATGTATGCTGGACTAAGAATAGTTTGACTCACAGATTTCACGATGTATATCCATTCTGTTTTGTTGCTATCTTCTGCTATGATACACCCTCGCCTATAGAAACATAAGGGAATAAGAGTTGTTATCACAAATACTGTACCATAATCTATGAATTCAGAGAAGCAACTTATATTTGAAAACATGAATATTTGTTAATATTTGTTGGTAATGGCATAATGAAAACAATATACATTTTGTGTTTTATGTTAGTGTAATGACACATTTATCTTGCTACTGTTATAATTTGAGATATATAGGAAATGTGTAACATAGATAAACTTTTATATGGAATGTGTTCCTGCCAAACTTTAATTTGGAATGTGTACAGTTGTATGTTATCATGGGCTTTTAACAGTCCTTGAAAGCCCATGATGTAATCATTAACATAACTTTGTGATTTAAAAATAAATTAAAACTTCACATAATATTTAGAATGGATTTTTCTCAGATATTATTCTCAGGATGGCAAAAAGAACTCAGGTGTTGCAACTTCTACAATTTCTACCTCTATAGCAGATATTACTATTGCAGATATTACCTGAATAAATGCAACTTACTTGTAGAAGTGGAATAAACATTGTTCCGGAGCTTCCTGTAAGATATCTAGCGGCCAATGGCGCATGAATGGAATTGTCCTGAAATAAATAGTTGACCATATAGAAATGAAACATTTGCCTGAATAATATACATTTGTAAATAATACTGCTTTAACATGCCATACTATGCTCAATTTAATGAAGTGTTATTTAATAAAAACTATTTGAAACACATTCAAAATATCATATCTGAACCTCTTTAAATAAATCCTCCCCCAGTATGTTAATAATAAAAACACCCAATAACTGATTAAATTCAGTGATTAATCTAATCTACTCATGCTACAGTGCAAGCTATGTGCATGGACTAATGTAAAAATAGCCAAACTTTATTTAGTATCGAAAATCCCCTTTGGGTCTCCTGGTATGATTCTTTTATTCCTATTTGTTCGTATTAGGCTTGATTAACTCCAGCCTTACAGTATTATGTATATATACAGTTTATTGTGACATTAAAGCGTCAGTCACATTTAATCTATTAGCAACCGTATGGCAGCCGTAGCTTCCCAAAACTCTAGAGAAATATGCAGTATAAAAATAGAGAGAAGCAGTATGACGTAGAATTTCTAAATCGATTTTGTGAAGATACGGCAGCATCATAGAGAAAATGTGACTGAGGCTTAACAAACAAGCAAAAGCACAGACACAAAACACATATTAATCTAATTAATTAGGCGGTGCTTAGTGATGCGATGCTACATCCTAAAATTAGCATGAGGTGATTCATTACTTAAGTAGCGGTAGATATATAGGGGATTTTCCTCCCATGAATATGTCAAAGAAAGCATCACGCCCTATCACCAACAAATCCATTGCTGTAATGCTTTTGATATCTGCTGTTCTCTCAAGCCTATACAGTAGAGCAAGCTCCTGAAATAGATGACACATAGGAAAAGTTTGAGACACATAGGTAATATAAGACAGAAACTGCAGTGATAGATATGTGAAATCAAAGATATGTAGCTAATAGTCAAGGTCCTCAAATTGATGACACATGGGGGACAGTCCATGACACATAGGTAAAGGCAGAGACAGATATGGGAAGGCGAGGACATATAGCTGATAGTCAAATTCCTGTAATAGATGACACATGGGGGACAGTCCATTGCACATAGGTTAAGGCAGAGACAGATATGGGAAGGTGAGGACATATAGCTGATAGTCAAATTCCTGAAATAGATGACACATGGGGGACAGTCCATTGCACATAGGTTAAGGCAGAGACAGATATGGGAAGGTGAGGACATATAGCTGATAGTCAAATTCCTGTAATAGATGACACATGGGGGACAGTCCAAGACATATAGGTAAAGGTGTGACGCTTAGGTAAGTCAAAGACAGATAGGAAAAGGCAAAAACATGTAGGCAAGAAGAATCTTCTGAAATAGATGACACATTGGGAATAGTTCAAGACACATAGGTAAAGGCAGAGACAGATATGTGAAAGCAAAGATATGTAGCTGATAGTCAAGTTCCTGAAATAGACGATGCATGGGAAACAGTTCGAGACACATAGGTAAGAAAAGACTGATATACATAATCTTAATAAGAACAGACTAGGGCACATGAAAGAGAGGCAGTGAAACATGGGGAATTTTAAGTAATTGAATGTGACACATTGGCAAAACAATGACAAACGGGGAACAGAAAGCAACTGAATGTGACACATTTGGAAAAAAATGACACACGGGGAAGCAACTGAATGTGACACATTGTGCAAAACAGTGATACAAAGAGAACAGTAAGCAGCCGAATATGACACATTGGGCAAAACAATGACACAAAAAGAACAGTAAGCAGCCGAATATGACACATTGGGCAAAACAGTGACACAAAGAGAACAGTAAGCAGCCGAATATGACACATTGGGCAAAACAGTGACACAAAGAGAACAGTAAGCAGCTGAATATGATACATTGGGCAAAACAATGACACAAAGAGAACAGTAAGCAACTAAATGTGACACATGGCCCAAAACAGTGACACATATACTAACTTACTTTGCAAACTGTAGATATTCTGGAGAGGTTCCACCCATGAATATATTGAAAAAATCATCTCTTCGAATTACCAACAATTGCATTGGTGTAACAGTTACTACAGTAGAACGTCTTTCTAGCTTATATAGAAGGGCGAGCTCCTGGAATACATATATCCACCAAGAATAATTAATATCAGGTTTTGGCATATACTTAAGGTAGGCAATGTGGGATATTTTTGGTTTGTGTATGGTGTATACATACACAATTTCATGTACAGGTTTGACCCAGATAACTTCTACTCATCATACCTTAGTTACAATCATTGTGATTTTCTGAAAGAATCAAATACTGAATACAACACAGGATTTTTTCCTTTTTGGGTAATCCTTTGTGGCTCTTTGGTTTGTGTCTCTTCTTGTTTTTACTCACAGTTTAATCTAATCTAATATTCTAACTAGAAATGAGTCTGAGTTTGTTGAAAGAATACATACGCCAAATGATTCTCCCCTTTGAAGACGAGCTAGTAGGGACACCTGAGGTTCACCATTTCTGTTGCTAAGCTGTTTAACATGGGCTGAAAATAAACTTGACTGTTAAGAGTGGAAATCATGATACTATAAAATTTAAACACTTTGACATTATAACCCATGTATCTATTGTCAAATATAGAATAGCTACTCTCTATTCTTATTGGGGAAACGGATGCATTGTTATCACTTTATTTCAATGGGTCAAGGTTGTGTTTTCTTGACACAGTAAAGTAAACTGTAAATCACATTTATGCTTATTCTCCAATCACAGGGCTCCAAGACCCAAAATATCTTTCTCTGTCGGAGGTACGGATTCTGGAATCTGGACACCTACTTTGGAGGAGGATTTACTCTAAAAGGGCCAATTCCAAGATGGGTTTTGTATTTTTGTGTCCATGCTTTAGACTGAAAGTATATTTACCTAATCCAGCAAGGATAAAGTAGAAGTTGTCCGCAATGTGCCCCTGTCTTATGATGTACCTTTTAGGAGGTACCCTGCAATAAACAATGTATCAATCAATCAATCAATTAATCAACAATCAATCAAAGAAACAAATGCAAGGTTGTAGCCACAATCTGAAAATAAGTGAGGCAAATTTAAATTAGGGAGGCAAATTAGAGGAAAATGGGAGATAATATCATAATAGAGAGGTTTCGATAAAAGTTGTTTCGAAATCAGTGACTGCAAATGTAATATCTGTTGCATCGTTGTAATCTGTACATTATCAACTCAATATCTAGCTCTTGTGGGGCGGTGTTCTACAAACAAGACCCTTTAAGGTGGTTCATCACAGGAACGAGTGGATGATTTCATAGTTCTTATAAAAGTTTGAGTTTAGATATAAGGTTTAGAACATAGCCGTAGGCAGCGGGGGTTCGATGGGTTCGAACGAACCCCCGGTCAGGATTTCCCAAAATATCATTTTGCGGAAAAATGCATATAACCAGAAATATTAAATTACTACAGTGTGCTATTTGAAAACTACATATGCATCAGTCCTGTTACTTTTGGAACACCCTGTATATGAACAGTAAATGATTTAATATTTGTTATGGTGAACACGAGAGCCTTATTTTGTTAAAAACATGTCATAGTGAAGTTACACTTCCCTCAAAACGTTTGGCAACCTCAGGCACTGGATGAGATTTAACGGAAGACCCAATAGCATGAGATTTTACATTTAAAATAACAATAATTTCGCACAATTAACTTAAAATCTGCTTCTTCTCTGACAAAATAACCCATCTTTGGCAATGGCTGAATCAGTCATTTGTAGGAATTTTGTTTTAAGCCAGTTCTGGTCCAATACGAAGTTATTGAAAGTTATTGAAAACAATGCAGACGTCTCATACTCCGAATGATTTTTACAACATTGACGAATAAATATCTGGAATAGTCGTAATATTGATGAAACACATGTTCTTTCAAATGTGTACATCTCTGTTTTGTTTTATTTCAATTAAAATTTAAAATATTTCTTGGGACGTCCCTGGGGCTGGCGTAGTCCCGAAATCAATTGTGTTAAATAATCAAAAACGTTGTGAAATGAATTATTTAAAAGCGTATATCATTTATAAACACAAGCATTTGTTCAAATTTATTCATTCTTCCATTTGTTCAGTATTTATTTACCCATCACTTTTCCAAAGAAAATCAATCATTGCAAAAATGATTTAGTCTTTTCAGGTACACTCCACTCATCTAAGAGATTGTATAGAATTCAAATTGTTATCGTTCCAGTTGAATTGCTCTCCATTTTCATGTTAATGTCATGATATGTTTAGCGAATAAATTATATAATAAAAACACATTGAAAAATCATATGATATTAATCTTCAAATAATGAAGGCCTAATTTGTTATCAAGCCGTCTGAACTTAACAAAATAACAGTCGCTTGTATTTATATATGATTTATATCCACTAAAACGTTTTTATTATCAATTGCGATTGATCTGCTCCGGGAGACTTACCACTGAGCTCCGGGGACGTCCAAAGAAATATTTTTAACTTTTTAAAACAAAGCATAACCTAGACCCACTTATTTGAATAATATATATTTTTATCAGTAATACGACTATCCCGGATAGTTGAAAAGCCTTCGTGTAAACTTTGTGAAAAGTTATCATAGAAGAACGATCTTTCGGAGTATATGGGTGTTTGCGTCAATTTCAATAACCTTGCATTTGATCCGAACTGGCTTCCAACAAAATTCTTGAAAAACAATGATAAGCCATTGCATGAGGTGATTTATTTTGTCCTAGATGAAGTAGCTTAAGTTAAAGAATAAATTGTGCGAAATAGTTGATATTCCTTGGAAACAAATCATGCTCCAGGGTCTTCCAGAAATCAGTCGAAATAATGGTGGATTCGGGGCAAATCAGATTTCAGGATATGTATCCAGTAAAAGATTCACCGAAATATATATTGATGCAGAAAATTAATTATAAGTTGTCTGACTTTTTTGCATGGTTGCCTGTTTATTTTACTTTGTGAACATTAAAGTTACAAAGCTGCAAGGTCATTTTTGAAAATCATGTTTACGTCCTGTATTATTTCAATGGGAGAGGTTTCTTGATAAAGCCTATTACTTTCAGTAAATAAAAACATCATTTTTGTTAAATAAAATTCAAATTCAATTGTCTACTTAACTTAATGAAGGTACTAAAACATATGTAAAATGAATTATATTTCCCGTTCCAAAATAGTTTTTTCTTTACATATTATGCATACAGAATTCAAACCTAAAGATGCTTTAATACATAATCCAATGGGTTAGTTAGGATTCCCAAACTTTTGGAGGTAGTGTAGTTGTACAAATTGCATTATTTGAGGAACCTTAATGAAGGGGGGGAGGGATTTGTGAATAACATAAAAATAGAACCCCCGGTCACCAAATCCTGGCTACGCCACTGTAGAATGTATAAAAAGGCATATACACGATTATTGTAAACTTATAAATTGCATCTACCTTGTATGTGTTGAAAAAATATTTGTAACAAATTGGTAAGTTATATAAGTAAGTTATATAACTAAGTAACTTACATTTGAAACCATGCAACTTTGGCAAGTTTCATTTGCATGTGCAATGGATATTCAGCAAAAGATCGCAGTGTTTGTAAACCATGGATTACTTTGTTGCACATATCTTTGGTGCGGTGCTCAGGCCGCAGACTTAGTATTTTCTGAACATCTGAACTGATCGAAATCTGGAAAGTGAAAATAAGTTATTTTAGAAAATATTTTATAAAAAATGATACTCATCCTGTATCCGATTCAGTTATACTGACCTTACTCCCAGATCCAAGTGCATAATGCACCCCCCCTATCAAAAGTTTGAGAACAACTTCAATGTTGGATGTTAAAACTTTTTTATGCTTACAGAGAAAAATTATTAACACATTCTCCAATCAGGGTTGCCAAGTTTTTTGGGAGTGAACATTTAGAATGTAAAACATACCTCTGTATTTGCTTTGTAGTATTTAGGATCAAAGGCCAGGCCTTCATTCTCCAGTAATTTCTGTAAACCTGCAGATTCCTCCACCTCATTTGCGATGTCAACAAATGATTTCAGTTGACGTTCAATATTTCCCGACATGTCACTGAAAAAAAGAGTTCTTAAAGTTGGCTTCAAGTCATATGGAATATATGGTATGGATTGATGATGGGCATTTTGGAAGTTCTGTCTATTTGAAGGGTACATTGTAATGTAATTCTTGAATGAATAAGTTTCAAAATATATATGTGCTGTTGCATATGGGCTAGGGATTGATGATGGGCTTTTTGGAAGTTTTGTCTGTTTGAAGGGTACGTTGTAATGTAATTCTTGAATGACGAAGTTTCAAAATATATATGTGCTGTTGCATATGGGCTAGGGATTGATGATGGGATTTTTGGAAGTTTTGTCTGTTTGAAGGGTACATTGTAATGTAATTCTTGAATGAATAAGTTTCAAAATATATATGTGCTGTTGCATATGGGCTAGGGATTGATGATGGGCTTTTTGGAAGTTTTGTCTGTTTGTAGGATACGTTGTAATGTAATTCTTGAATGAATACGTTTCAAAATATATATGTGCTGTTGCATATGGGCTAGGGATTGATGATGGGCTTTTTGGAAGTTTTGTCTGTTTGTAGGATACGTTGTAATGTAATTCTTGAATGAATACGTTTCAAAATATATATGTGCTGTTGCATATGGGCTAGGGATTGATGATGGGCTTTTTGGAAGTTTTGTCTGTTTGAAGGGTACGTTGTAATGTAATTCTTGAATGAATACGTTTCAAAATATATACAGGGTGATCAATAAATAAGGTAAAAGTATCTGGAATTTCTTCAGATTTTACCCAATCCTCATAAAATTTGCGCAGAATAATGTTCAAACATTATTGAATTGATATTTTAAGTTACAGATCAAAGTGATGTGATTGGTTGAAGTTATGGTTGCCATAGCAACAGAAAGCACGAAGACCCGGGGCAACTATAAAAAAAACTAAATTTTCAGTCGAAACACTTATGATAATATATTTCCAATCACAATTAAAATGGCATATCATATTCTTATTTCATACTTCATAACTGCTACTTAATGTCCTTTGTTTTTAACATATAGTTCATGTCTTCTACTCCAGTCGTTGAACACTTTTTAAATACATTTTCCCATAGCCTGCAAATTTTCAAGACAGCTAGCTTCAAGTCATCCCATGAGAAACTCTCTCAACTCCCTCTTCAGTTCACCATGACAGTAAAATCATAAGGGGACAATTCAGGAGAGTATAGTACATGACCTAACAGTGGAAAACCCAGTGCTTCAATGGTTTGTACCGTGAGAATAGCATCGTGAGACAGTGCAATGTGAAACGTTTTGTAGGCCTCTTAGTCTTAGCTTCTTCCTCTTTTCTCTCATCAAATCTCTTCTGTGGGTATTTGTCTTATCATTGACCTGTGTCATAGACTTTCTATGATCACATCAGTTTTCATTATTTATTAATCTTTTCCATGACATCAAACATCGAATTTGCAAGAAAATATGTAACAATGTAAACAAAGTATTATAGAAACAATTAATGTTGGCACCCACGTTTATTTCTTTTTAGTTTGAAAAAGATGTGCTTTTTATCATTTTTTGTTCAAAAAGGATGCAATGAAATTGCCCCGGGTACCCCCGACTCCAGTTGCCATAGTAACTATAATATTAACCAGTCAGATGGCAGAAATTATATATTTACATGTTTTAATTTAGAAATGTACAAGGTATATTCTGACCAAATTTCAGGATGTTTGGACCAATATTGACAAAATACCAGATACTTTTACCTTATTTATTGATCACCCTGTATGTGCTGTTGCATATGGGCTAGGGATTGATGATGGGCTTTTTGGAAGTTTTGTCTGTTTGAAGGGTACGTTGTAATGTAATTCTTGAATGAATACGTTTCAAAATATATATGTGCTGTTGCATATGGGCTAGGGATTGATGATGGGATTTTTGGAAGTTTTGTCTGTTTGAAGGGTACGTTGTGATGCAATTCTTGAATGAATAAGTTTCAAAATATATATGTGCTGTTGCATATGGGCTAGGGATTGATGATGGGATTTTTGGAAGTTTTGTCTGTTTGAAGGGTACGTTGTAATGTAATTCCTGAATGAATACGTTTCAAAATATATATGTGCTGTTGCATATGGGCTAGGGATTGATGATGGGATTTTTGGAAGTTTTGTCTGTTTGAAGGGTACGTTGTAATGTAATTCTTGAATGACGAAGTTTCAAAATATATATGTGCTGTTGCATATGGGTTAGGGATTGATGATGGGCTTTTTGGACGTTTTGTCTGTTTGAAGGGTACGTTTGTAATGTAATTCTTGAATGACGAAGTTTCAAAATATATATGTGCTGTTGCATATGGGCTAGGGCTTGATGATGGGATTTTTGGAAGTTTTGTCTGTTTGAAGGGTACGTTGTAATGTAATTCTTGAATGACGAAGTTTCAAAATATATATGTGCTGTTGCATATGGGTTAGGGATTGATGATGGGCTTTTTGGACGTTTTGTCTGTTTGAAGGGTACGTTTGTAATGTAATTCTTGAATGACGAAGTTTCAAAATATATATGTGCTGTTGCATATGGGCTAGGGCTTGATGATGGGATTTTTGGAAGTTTTGTCTGTTTGAAGGGTACGTTGTAATGTAATTCTTGAATGAATAAGTTTCAAAATATATATGTGCTGTTGCATATGGGCTAGGGATTGATGATGGGATTTTTGGAAGTTTTGTCTGTTTGAAGGGTACGTTGTAATGTAATTCTTGAATGAATAAGTTTCAAAATATATATGTGCTGTTGCATATGGGCTAGGGATTGATGATGGGATTTTTGGAAGTTTTGTCTGTTTGAAGGGTACGTTTGTAATGTAATTCTTGAATGAATAAGTTTCAAAATATATATATGCTGTTGCATATGGGCTAGGGATTGATGATGGGATTTTTGGAAGTTTTGTCTGTTTGAAGGGTACGTTGTGATGTAATTCTTGAATGAATAAGTTTCAAAATATATATATGCTGTTGCATATGGGCTAGGGATTGATGATGGGATTTTTGGAAGTTTTGTCTGTTTGAAGGGTACGTTTGTAATGTAATTCTTGAATGACGAAGTTTCAAAATATATATGTGCTGTTGCATATGGGCTAGGGCTTGATGATGGGATTTTTGGAAGTTTTGTCTGTTTGAAGGGTACGTTTGTAATGTAATTCTTGAATGACGAAGTTTCAAAATATATATGTGCTGTTGCATATGGGCTAGGGCTTGATGATGGGATTTTTGGAAGTTTTGTCTGTTTGAAGGGTACATTGTAATGTAATTCTTGAATGAATAAGTTTCAAAATATATATGTGCTGTTGCATATGGGCATATGGGCATATAGGGATTGATGATGGGATTTTTGGAAGTTTTGTCTGTTTGAAGGGTACGGTTGTGATGTAATTCTTGAATGAATAAGTTTCAAAATATATATGTGCTGTTGCATATGGGCATATGGGCATATAGGGATTGATGATGGGCTTTTTGGAAGTTTTGTCTGTTTGAAGGGTTCGTTGTAATGTAATTCTTGAATGAATAAGTTTCAAAATATATATATATGCTGTTGCTGATTGGCTGTATCCAGTATTGATTCCAGTTAATCCTTGTAACAAGATATGCAATTTTATTCTATATTCTCATATATGCAAATGTTCAGAAATGCAATTTTATTCTATATTCTCAAATATGCAAATGTTCAGAAATGCAATTTTATTCTGTATTCTCATATATGCAAATGTTCAGAAATGCAATTTTGTTCTATTCTCAAATATGCAAATGCATAAAAGCTTGGCTATTGATGTCTGAGGGCACGTTTAAGGAAAATATACCGAAAAATATGCTTTTGATTAGTCTTATTCCTGTTATGCCATTAAGCATTTTCAACTGTCGCATCAGCCAAAATCCCATATTGAATCTTTCATGATCATGAATGAAACACATGAAACATTTGAAGTATCACATATATTATCAAATCCTAAGCCAAAAATATGCTTTTATAAATCTTTTTCTATTTATTTTTATCCTTTTATTTATCCTTTTATTTATTTTAGTTAGCAGTAATTTTTTTACATTTGTCAACAGAAAACATAATTTGGCTTGACACCTGCATGTGAACAGTCTCAGTTTCTATTTCAAGTATTTTACTATTTACTAGAGAATTCATTTTATGAGTCAACTGTTAATTTATTTAATGAAGCAGCTTACTTGATAAGGCTGATCCAGGAAAGACATATCAGGACTCTTCTAACTAGTTTCCTAAAATAGGCTAATGCCTGAAATAAATAAAAAACATGTTTCTTGAAGTAAGATCATGCCTGAAACGAGAAACATAAAGTACAAGGCATTAATGTGCAAAATGTCACTCCCTGCTATTTGTTACAGACACAGATTGCCACTTGTTACAGACACCAACCACCAAACACCGACTGCCAAAGTTGCCAAACACCATCCACAAAAAAAGTTGGAGACTATAACACTATATCATCACTTGTGGTGGTGACATAAAAAATAATCTTCAATAGATTTTAAAATAATTTGAAAAAAATACTATATTTAAGAAACATCATTTAAAGAAATAAATAAACAACAACAAATAAAAAATAAATAAATAAATTAATAATAAGCTCACCTCTCCATCCTCTTCAAAGCGTGAATTCAGCTCCTTTGTGATATTTTGACTGTCCCTGAACAAATTACGTGCATTTAAGCCTCCCAAGAACCCAAAAGCAGCTTTTAATCCACCTTGAGCTGTTTTCATTTTTTGTTTCTTAGTTTTTCTATGTCTTTGTCTACTGTTCCTTAATGAGTTCATAATATCAGTATTCAAAGACATATTCGTCATTTTCCTCATAAGTGATTCCTGTCTCGCTTCATCGACATTCCCGTGAAGAGACCAACGAGCGGGAAGTCGACTCCATGTTTTAGCAAATCTATTTTTAGCAGTCACAACTCTTACATCAGATCGTACAGTTTTAACAGTTTGGTCAATTTTTGCTCTTTTTTCTCCAAGTAGTTTAGTAAGTTCATTGACTCCTTTAACAGTATTTCTTAAAGTTGTTTTCTTTCTGTGTACTGCACTTATTATTGAATTATCATCGTCATCTGACTTAACATTGATCTTATTTTGTTTCACTTGCTGAGTGAAACTAAAAAGCACTTTTTTAGGATTCGGTTTGGGAAATGTTAAATCACTTTCTGCATTATCGCTGGTTTTTAAGGTTTCCATTTGTATTCTTGGAGGAGAGGCATCTTCTTTCGCTCGTTTGACTAGACTTGGGAAACCACTCGCTCGGCGGGGAGTTATCTGGACCGACATCTTGTGTTGTAGAATTTCAAAGTATTTTTGTTCTCAATTAAGTCATTTCAAATTCCCAATTTCATTTCAAATAGTTTCCAATTTGGTAGGTTTACATCCATTCTGTGAAAACACCTGAAATATAATAAAAGAATCTGTAACTAATTCTGTAGAATACTAAGTATTCATTAAAGTTAATGAAAACACACAATGAAATTCTGCGCTAAGTGCTGATGTAAAAAAATCAGTCGTCCACCCTAGTATTCATTTAGTTCCCATTAAGAACAACTGTTTGAAAGTAACAGATTTAAGAATTGCATATATTATGTAAAATCTCTGAAGTGCCAATGTTCTAGTTAAACATCAAACACTCCAGATATTTTTGATAATTAAACTGACAAAATAAACTCTTAAAGATTCTAGTACACACTTCAACACATAGTAACAATTAAGTTGTCAAAAACTAAACTCAAACTCACCTCAATTCGTAATGTTTGACTTCTGTTGACTTGTGTTTCTATACTTAATGCCATACAATACAGTGGCTGGTCACAGACCTAGGGCCATTACATGAAATATAAATCCTATAAAATAGCACAAGAATTCAGTATTGGATTATTTGTGATATTATACTTTCAAATTTGAAGGTACTATCAAATTTGGCAATGTTATTCAACTGATCCCTTGAAAATTCACCTTTTAGTTTTAAGGTTTCTCAATTTAGATCTCTTGTGTTTTCATTAAGGATTTACCACAATTGAAGTGAAAATTTTAGAAATTGAAATAAGAAAACAAAGCTACTCATATTTTTAATAGTAGGGGTTCTTTTTTCAATAGGCAATGTGTTTCTCTAAAACGTTATTTATTGCCTCCGGCTTCCAATAAAACTTTCATTCCAAAGTGGATTGGGTCATTCAAAACCTGGATAATCCGTTATATAAAGATTAAATCCAATACTGGTTTTAATATTGCCAAGTCAGAGCTTTAAAGTATTATATTACTTTTAAACAAGTTATAAGATTAAGCGATTGTTGTAAATGATATTCATATTTAATACATCACCAACCAATTACAGTTGAACAATAACTGACCTGCTTAAGATAATTTCACTGGCTTTTATATATGATTAAAATCCACCATGAAAATTCAACGAGATTAAAGTCAAAGGACATAATGATGAATGTTAAGTGTAGTCTCTAGCCATCTAGGGGTTAAATAAATAATATGAATGAAATAACATTAAGGTGTTTAAATATGATAACATGTTTATCCGCAGTATTTAAATAATATATAAAAACAGGATAGATGAAATTAAAAAGTAAAAATTAGGACTCATGATCTGCAATTTTTTAAAAAAAATTTTAGAAAAAAGGTTGACTGCAAGTTTTGCTAGGTTTTAATCTGATGTAAAGAACCTGAGAATAACAATCTAAATGCAAAGATAATGACCTACATATTGACATTTCACAGAAATTTGACCCTTATATGATAGAAGGTCAACCAAAAGTCTGATATCCTCAATTTTAACCTTAGATTTTGAATGTTAAACAATTCTAAACTTTTGTTTATTTGATCTACTTCTCTACCTCTTATTTCACAAAAACAGTTAAGACTCATACGTTTTATTACGAAAGTTGTTTCTACACAGGCCCTGTAGGCCAAATGTTAAAAATGTGGACCAATTGCTTGTTTTAAAATATACAGCTATACAGGGTGTCCATCAAGCTCCTTTACATTTTACACAAACTTTGTATTGTAATTGTAAAGAAACTTTATGGACACCCTGTATTTCAACTGCAACATTTTGGCAGGACAATACAACCAGATAAATACAAAATACTCCACAGAAAAGTCCTACAGTAAGGCTAGTCTAAGTGGAACACCTCTGATACACCTAAAGTGTTCCACTTGAAAGGTGTCCCACATATAGAGGTTCATTTAACATTAAGTCAGTTGGTCTTTGGACTCTGAAAAGTGCTCCACTAACAGAGGTGTTCCCCTTCTAGAGGTGTTCCATTTAACAGGTTTTACTGTAATACTTAGTACTATGTGCTCATATATACATGTAACAGGTATGTACCATGCCAGTTATTTCACGATCAACATTTACAAATATGTTTCTTAATTGCTTTTGCATGATTTGTCATTTCAATTTAATTCTAGCAGAGAGCGCGAACAGTGTTTAGATTAAGGTCTTTGAATATTCTCAATAGCTCAATGTAATAGCAAACATTTGAGGCCATTTGAAAAAAGATCAGTAACAGCTTATTGTAGTGATACAGGTAAACTAGTGTCTGAAATTGCTTTAATATCCAAAACATGTACACTCTCAATAAGATTACCAATTTGCAATCGGGGCATATATCCCATTCTCCCCAATATATTTCTTTTAGTGACATTGCCATAAATGATGAGATTTTGAAATACGAGAAAACTTCTCAATTGTCAGATTAATGTGCCAATTGCAGCGACACCTGTGTAAGTGGAACACCTATTGTTGATAGAGAAAAATAATCTTTTACTTGGATGGTGCTCCACTTGCGGAGGTTCTTAATATATTACTGAGAAGGCATTAACATGCAAAATGTGAGAATAATTTATTAAAAGTGCCGACCACTGAACACCGTCCACAAAAAAGTTGGAGACTATAACAATATGTCACGACTTCTTCTAGTGGCTACATTATTAATAGGTAACTGGATTGTTCAACTAATGAAGATGTTGGATTTATGCCTGGGTCACATTTGTTCAATATTCTATTCAATTTTGAACAAAATACTCAATCGGCCGTGAGCCGTATTAAAAATCGGAGCAAATGTGACTACGGCATTACTCTACAGCTAACCAAAGCAGCTCAAAATGCAATCAACTCCTAACTATTTATGGGGAAAACCTGCAATTTAGTAATTTATGGTCTTGGGAAAATGCTAAAACTATAGAAAAGATGATTTTTACAATATATTTTTGTTGGAATATGTACAATGGTTTTTACATTTCTTAATGTAAAACGACGTGTTTTGTTTATTATATAATATATGCACCTACTTCTACTAAGTATTCTAATCAAGGATTTAAGGGACATTCCTTGCCAGACCATTTCTCAGTTCCTGTGTGAAATCTTCAAATGGCAGCTTACAGGAATTGATTTTGGTAAACAAGGAAATATCCCTTTAAAATAAAGAAAAGGATTGGAATCCCCAATTGACTCAAGACATCCACCAGCTATAAGTTCTTTTCGAAAAAATAATTGTATTTTTAAGGGCTAAATTTCTCATCCTCCATAACCCTAAAATATTTCTGATTAATAATGGTGACAATCAAAGCGTCTTATGTCTAAGGTGGTTGGATAACAATATTTGAATGGAAAGTTTTATGTATGTGATCTATTAAGATTGAAACTGAAAATGGTAGGGCATAAAGGATTCCAATCAATTTCTTTATGTCCATGTTCTAAAGTACATGTAAATTAGTAAATTAAAAAAATATGTATGAAATATCATAAAACCTTTTTTAAAGTGACAATATACAATACCAACATTTGCTGTTTTTAAATGAATTTTCTTTACTGTATAGCATACAAAACAGCCAAGAGCATGTAAAATGTGGAGCATGGCTGATATTTAAATAATTTTATTTGACTGGCTGATAGATGAGGTATCATGAAAAAACCTTTTCACTAAAATCAGCAAATCTACATTTTGCATGTAAAAGAATAAGGATAAACACTGGATGATCATAATATTAATTTTCAATCCAATCTTTACTCATTTCAAGTTTTTATACAGTTCAACATTTAAGCCTATCAAAATATTTAGCCTGAATATTAAAATATAATAACAATATCTTTTGTAAAAATGAACAGTTTCTATGTATCTCTTGTGGATTTGAATCCTTGTAGAATCTACTTTATTTAAAATATACAAGTACACATTGTCTTAAATATTTTGACATTGAGATATATGGAAATAAAGATATTGAAATTTTCAGATTGTGAAACCTGTGTAATTGGAACACCTCTGCTTGAATAAGATAGTCTTTCACTTAGAAGGTGTTCCACTTAGATGGCTTCTTATTACTATAAGGTAATAGATAAAACAAGCAAAATTCACTTGTGAAGGTGTTCATTCATAGAAATAATCCATCCCACAGTTAGCAATCAATCAATTCACCCCAGTTAGCGTTTCCCCACTCTCCCAGTGTACATTTGTCAACAAATGTGTTTTGAGATATCGCAAACTTTTAAACTCCTTATTACACTGTGTACATAGGTATGTTTCAGCTTTCTTGTTATGCTGCTCTTTCATGTGAGTCCCCAGATTATTTTTGAATTTAAACTTTTTCCCGCATATATAGCACAACAATTTGACACCAGTGTGTCCCCGTTGATGATCTTCAAGTTTACTCTGTGATGAAAATGCACGATCGCAAACACTACAGCGTTTATCGTCAGCTTTTATCTCATGTTGGCGTTTGATGTGCCTATCTAACAATTCTTTTGTTGCAAAAGATTTAGGACACTTGAACGTGCATTTGAACATTTTTTCAACATTGTCATGTTTTTTACGATTATGAGTTGCCAAACCTTTAAGAGTTGAACACAATATTCCACATTCCAAGCAGCGAAAAGATTCACCATCTTTCGACGAATGAAATTGTTGAACATGAGCAGTTATCTCACCCTGATCCTTAAAAGTCGCTTTACAATATTTGCATGTGTTATTTTTAGTCACATGTTTTTTTAAGTGAACTAACATCGACCAACGAGTCTTCAGAACAACCTCGCAAATTCCACATGTGAACGATGTCATCTTTATAGTCTTTGAATACTTTAGAAGACCAATGTTCTTTTTCACTTTAGGGACTATTGATTCAAAATCACCCCCATATCCTTTCAATTCAATTTCTTCAATATTGGATTCTGTTATTGGCACTGAACTGTTGGCTTTGTCTACAGCAGTATGTTCAATCCTATCTGATACAGTGTCGTCACTTCTTATAATGTCAACATTGATGGCTGTTATATCTTCACTGTTGGTTGTAATATCTTCATTTGGGATGACATCTTTCTTTTCAGTAATATCCTTATTTGCAATATTATCTTCTTTATCTTTATCTGTCATGATATCATATTTTGTATTGATGTCGTCATTTGTTGTAATATTGCACACAGTATTGTTCAGGTCAGAGACCTTTAGTTCCGATCCAGAATCTGGCTTATCACTGGTTTTTGACATATTTAAATATTTAGGATCACAAGCTTCGTTTTCATTTAATTTCACAACAGTGTCTTCATCTTCTTTATGTTGAGAAACTCCCTTGTTTCTTACATCAATGTCAATTTTCAGTTGATCTTTATCACTATTAGACTGTACCACATTTTCAATTTCAATTTGGTCCATAACTTTTTTCAATTGTTTACCAATTCCGACTTGATTCATATTATTTTCAGTAACGTACACTTCAATTTGATCTGTATCATTCTTAGATTGTACATCAGTTTCCATTTGACCATTGTCTTTTGTCACTTGTACACCCGTGTCCACTTGATTAATTTGATCTGCATCCTTTTCAGATTTTACACCAGTATCCACTTCGATTTGATCTACATCATTAGATAGTAAATCATTTTCCATTTGATCATTGTCTTTTTTCAATTGAACACCGATATCAACTTGTTTCATTTGATCTTTCTCCTTTTCAGATTTTACAACAATATCAACCTCAATTTGATCTACATCAGTATCAATTTCCATTTGATCATTGCCTTTTTTCAAGTGAACACCAGTTTCCATTTGATCACTGTCTTTTTTAACTTGTACACAGGTATCTACTTGTTTCATTTGATCTTCATCCTTTTCAGATTTTACACCAGTATTCACTTCATTTAGATCTACATCGTTTGATTGTTCATCAGTTTCCATTAGATCATTATCTTTTTCCAGTTGTGCACCAGTGTCCATTTGTTTCGTTAAATCTTCATCCTCATTTGATTTTACCCCTGTATCCACTTCAATTTGATATGTACCACCAGATTGAGTATTGGTGTCCTTCTCATTTGGAGCAAGGTTTGCTTCAGCGATAGCATCATTTTCACTGTCCTTTACATTGAGGAACTTACCATCAACACGTCCCTCCTTTGAATCATTTCCACTTACTTTACTAGCTCCATGTTTCATTAGAACATGCTTTCTTACGCTGCTCTTTTTTCGGAACATTTTGCAGCAAATGGTACAGCTAAACTGTCTGATCAACTCTGATACGTGGCCATGTTTCATGTACTCCGCCTTGGTGATAAAGCATTTGCCACAAATCTGACACTGAAATGGAAACCAGCCTCAGTTATTGTACATGCAACACGCCCAGAGGCTCTGAATAGAGTCCTAGCTAAACTTCATGGGATCTTTATCGTAGTTGAATACAATGAGTTGTATGCAAAAATATCAACAGGCTTTGACTTGAAAATATAATGTTATATGAAGTTCATGACAATAGGTTGGTTTTGCAAAAATAACAATATAACATAATAATACTACATGTACATGTATATGGATTTGACAACTATGGGTTGGTAAATGCAAAAGTATCAACAGGCTTTGACTATTACCACTTATATTGGCTATTACCTGGTAAAACTGGATCTCATTACGCTTGATGTGAGCATTTATATGAAGCTCCAAGGCACGTTCCTTCACAAACACCTCATCACAGGTAGGGCAGGTAAAGGTCTGGAAATACAATTAATAAGTCACATCCCCCTCCAAATGTTATGTAATATTATACAAATATTGAATTCTGTAGAGTTGAATATCTGTATATATTTATGAAGGTGTATTCACTGCAGCCCGAAGGGCGAGGTGAATACATCTCTCAGAAATATATACAGATGTTAAACGTTCTCAGAATTCAATATTTGTTTTATTATTTCCTCATTAAAGTAGTACACAATATTAAGGTTAGAAGTACACATTATTGATATGATATGACGTCTAGGTTCAACGTATTTCCAAACGTTTGCCAATATTCTGTACATGTTATAATTCACGATCTCAGTCACACCATGGATAAATATTAGATTCCGAACTTCCATGTTGAAGTCCATAGTCTTCGTGGTTTGATATGTTGAATACATTTGTAAATTCTTTATCCCGTGTTTGTTATACAGTTGTGAACCTTTTCTTGGGAGGACTTCCTGAAACAATGCTTCACCGTCTATCATATCGGATGAAATTAAGTGATGTGACGTCATTTTAATTTCAATAAATAGTGGTATTCACTAAAAATGACATCACTGCCTGTGAATACACTCTTCACACATTTTCTTAGCAGGGAGACATGGAATACCTCTATATATTTCTAGTCACATGGTATCTAATTGACCAATGAGAGAACGAGTATCACGGCATGGAAATAATAATAGGTAATATCATAGTCTTCTTCATAGTTTGGTTCTAACCTTATATAATTTAGGAACAAAATTACAATTACGTTTCCATCTTTCCTTTGAGTTAATTTGAAAAAAAATAATTTTAGCAATTTTCAGAATAGGAACAGATCATTGACGTGTAAAACCTGTCTAAATACAAATGAAGTTAAGCCCAATTATTTACTTGCATTTATATTGAATATACATTCATTTAATTTAAATAAAGGGATACTGTACATCTTAAAAATTCTTCTCTTGCAATTTGTAAATTTTGTACACAAATTTGTGCAACTGACAAGTGACAACCGTAAACAAAACTGTGCAACTAACCTTTGAAGTATGCGTCTTGAAATGATCCTGTAAGAGCTTGATGTCTAAGAACATCTCATTACAAAGATAGCACCTATATTCAGTACTATCATTTTCCTGATTCTTCATTGCGATCTCAATTTTTTCACCCTTATTCTTCTTGACATGTGCCTTCTCTGGGTTTTTATGATCTCGCTCTATATGCACTAAAAGAGTTGATTTCCTGGTGTAGGCAATGCCACATAGAGTACAACAGTAAGGTTTGACGCCTTTATGGATTCCTAACTCGTGACGAATTCGGTGATCTTTACGTATAAAAGTCTTCGGGCAATACTGACACTTATGTGGCCTCGCACCTGTGTGTATGTGACTATGGTCCTTTAGATTATTTATGAATCTAAAAGATGTCCCACACACGGAACAAACGTGTGGTTTTTTAACGGCAGGTTTTGAATTAGTATCCTTTTCAGAAATTCCAAAGGTTGCATTATTAATGGTTTTCTTTTCTTGCTTAGTTGCTTCCTCTTGATGCTTCTTCACATGTCTCTTATAAGACCGATATGAGCTGAATTTTTTGTTACATTTTTCACAGCCGAGATCTGATGTATTCCCATGTACCTTAATATGCTCAGTTAGGTTTTGTTTCCACTTAAAGCCTTTAGGGCAGTGTGGACAAAAGAATGCAACTGTAGAACTGGAACGGCAGATCTGCATATGAGCTTTAAGATACGTATTGCGTGTAAAGCCCCTGTTACATTTCTTGCAGTAATAACGACGTGTGGTCAGGCAATCTTCCAAGTGAATCTTCAGGAATTCCTCACTTGAGAAAACCTGAAAGGAAAATAGGTCTAGTTTAGAAATACAATGTTTGTAGTCTCTCATATGCCAAAGCCAGTAGAAATGTTATTGGTTGTATGCTATTTTAGTATGTACAGGGTGTTAAATAAATAGTACCCCACACACAATTTTGTCGCCTACTTTGATGTATTGTAGAAAATTATCCAAAAAGAGTTTGTTTATAAAATTTGGCATACTTTAACTTGAAACATTTTGTGACACTCAAATTTTTTTATTTGGAAATTTAAGTAATATTGACGAAAAACAAGCAATTTTAAAATATTCATGTTTAAACAAAATTCGACGAAAATTTCCAGTTTTGCAGTTTTAAAGAGAGTTTAAATCATTTTGATTACATTTTGATCACAAACCTATTGCATTACATATGGTTTGTCTGTTCTCTTAAGATACTGTTACTATGTGTTGGAGATGTTTAACTCCTAAATAGGAATATTGTAAGTGTGATTTTATTATTGTTTAAGAGTGAAGACCCCTTTTAATACTTTCAATACATGGACAGGTGCATGTATCATATGATTTGTTGGCTTTAAGTCTAAAAAGGTTTATCAGGGCATTGAAAGACATCCCTGCTTGAATTTCTATACCATCCTACCCCTACAGCATTTCCTACTGTCCCACTTGATTAAAAAATCCTTTCCAATAGTTCGCATCTCATAAAATCTCAAGAAAATGGTTGTATTTTGTTTAAGTCAATTGAGGCATTATTAACAGTGAGCTTGCACTCAATTTTCCATTGGCCTACGATCGGGAGGCCATATTCACCCAATACCTCACAGGTGGCCACCGACGGCTTACCTTTTGTTGGAAATGATTCACATGGATTTAACATGTGAACTTTCAGGGGTAACATCATAACATTGTAACAGTCACTCCTGCTTGGTTCAGTTTTTCTTTTACCAGTGGATTATAATGGTGTTTAATAGGATAGGATTGACCAGAATATTCAAATTGTTTTTGTAATCAATTTGTTACAAATCGTTTCAAAATTTAGCTTGATTTAGGTCAAATCTGTAAATGCGTAGCAATTTAGAAACTGAAGTCAAATTGTGGTGAAGTCATATTACCCCAAACAAAAACATTTGAGTGTCACAAATTGTTTCAATTTAATGTATGCCAAATTTCATGAGAAAACTCTTATTGGATATTTTTCTACAACAAATCAAAGTAGGCGACAAAATTGTGTGTGGGGTACTATGTTCTCCCCTCCTTAGCTTTAACATCCATATAATGTTGGATAACTTTTTTCTCTACATGATATCTGAATTGTTCTTTAAGCACATCATAACTAGGCTTCACTGAGCAACTCCACAAGAAGGTTCAGATGACTAGCTCAACTAGATGCACTTTTATGCACAAAAGTTTATTCTCTTGAAATTAAGGGCGAGAACATATTTATTTGACACCCTGTATAATGTAAACAGTGTGAGACTTCAAGACATACAAAATACTAGAAAAACAGCAACTCCACAGAGTAGCAAATCCCACCGAACAAAACATATTTAGATTATTAGTGGCCATCTTGAAAATTCCTTCTTGAGCAGAGCTTGTTTGTCCCTAAGCATCAACATAAAAAAGGTAAACCATATCCATAAATTAAAATTTGAGTTATCAAAGATTACATTCTTTTTTACTCAAAATGGAGGCCATTTGAAATTCTGCAGTCATTTTGAAAATCTTTCTCGAACAGAGCTAAAGTGTCCCTAGGTATCAGCATATAAAATTTGAATTAAGAAAAATGGCAACCATTTTGAAATTCAGCTGCCATTCTGAAAATTCTTCTTCGAACAGAGCTACTGTATCCTTAGGCATTATCATATAAAATTTAAAACAAATCCGTTCGCTGGTATTAGAGTTATCAAAATTTTATGTTTTTTTTACGAAAAATGGCCACCATTTTGAAATTCAGTGGCCATCTTGAAAATTCATTTTTGAACAAAGTAACTGTGTCCCTAGCCATCATCATATAAAATTTGAACCAAATCTGTTCACTGGTATTTGAGTTATCAAAGATTATGTTTTTTTTACGAAAAATTGCTGCCATTTTGAAATTAAGTAATCATCTTGAAAAAATTTTGTCGAACATAGCTACTGTGTCCCTAAGCATCATCATATAAAATTTGAACCAAATCCGTTCACTGGTATTTGAGTTATCAAAGATTATATATTTTTACGAAAAATGGCCCCCAATTTGAAATTAAGTAGCCATCTTGAAAATCTCTTTTTGTACGTATAAAACTTGAACCAAATCCGTCAACCAGTATTGGAGTTATTGCCCAGACACACGGACGAACGAATGGACGGACGGACGGCTTCTCTATATCCCCCTCAAACTTCGTTCGGTGGGATAATAATTACATTTGCAATCTATTTTAATACCTGATTTACCTGAAGCAAGGTAAACAGCCAAGAACAAGTGAGGATTTGGGGAATTTAGAACTGACACAAGGGAATTCAAAGTTTTAGACTATAAAGATTTATACGGTATAGCAAGGAAAGGCCTCTCAGAAAGCTGCTACTAAGATTTCAGTAAATCTGCTTTATTTGTAAAATCATGACTAGGTCATAATTTCCAAAATTTGTTAGTTTTAGTAAATGTATGAAACAAAGGGCAATGTAGCAGCAGGAAATGGGCAATATTCTTTCCAATTAATTTTCTTACCCAAACTGCCCATTGTTTTGAGGAATTTTGTAACTAGAAATTATTCTTTTAATTCATTTTGCCTATTGAGACCGCTCAAAACATGATCGGGGCCAGGGTGATAAAATGATACATATACACATAATCATACCTTGGAGCACTGTCCACAGACGCATTGATCAGTTTTTGGGGGCTCCGGTAGAAATAATTGCTTAACTTGTTCAGGCGCACTGGGAACTTCTAGATTCGAGCTGGGGATAGCTTTTGGATTGTTATACAAGTTTCCTGCTGCGACTGTCCCAGCTCTGTCATATAAATGAGTGTTGTAATTTGATCTAAACTCTGGCTCTTGTTGAATAGGAACTGTGACCAATTGTTCATTTTGGATGACCTTAAGTGGACTGACTTCATGTTTGTCATTTCCACTAGTGAGAACCTTATTTTGAGTTGGTCCAGTTGATTCTGTTCGCAGACTGTTAATCGCAACACCCTTTTGATCGTGAACCCCTCGTTGATGCAATTTCAAATCATATTTTCGTGAAAATTTTGCATCACAAAACTGACATGCATAATTTTTTGCTCCGGTATGTGTTGTGATATGGCGATCACGGTGTTCTTTCCTCCGAAATGTTTTGTTACAAAAAGAGCATGAGAACTCTCGGGAATCCAAGTGGATCTTCTGGTGTTCCTTTAATGTGTGTCTGTATGTGAATTGTTTATTACAAATCGCACAAGGGAATGTCTGCGATGACCTGTGTGTTTTCATATGTACACCAAGCATGGTCTTATTAGGGAAAATCTCGCCACATTTTTTACATGAAAAATCTTTTATTGATTTAGGCTTGATTGCTACTGGCTGAGTCTGTGGCTGCCAGGATTCCTGTATGTTCACATCTGATGGTTGGACTGTCTCAACAATAATATGCTTTCCTGATGCTTCGCTCAATTTAAATGAGCTTGTATTGTGCTGTACCTGTAATTGAGTTGGTATTGTTTGAGGCAAAGCCAGTTGTGACAGAGCAGATTGAGACATAGTTGATTGAGTTATTTCTGGTTGTGATAAATTTGATTGCGACAAATTTGGTTGAGGCAAAGTTGGTTGTGATAAAATTGGTTGTGACAATATAGGTTGTGACAAAATTGGTTGTGACAAGGCTGTTTGTTGATCTATGGCTTCTATAAATGAATGACTATGCGTCTGGAAATCAGTAATGTCAGTGAATGCAAGATTGCAAGTATTACAGTAGTATAACAAGTTCATTCGTCCTCCAGCTCCAGTGGAGTTACTAGCACTGGTTTCAACATCTCCTGCAGGGACCATCACTGGGTTGACTGTGCCTATTGACTGGACAATATTCTGAGCATCTTGATTTGAGTTATATTGAATGGCTGGTGTTGTTGTTTGCATAGCCTGCCATTGTTGAGGGGCATGCTGGGATATGTCTTGGAGGACAGGAGAAACTCGAGACACTGCTGTATTTTGGATGGGGTTAATGTCAGTCACAGGAGGCCTTGAGTTACCATCTTTTCTTGACTGTTCTCTTGTTTGTGAATCATGTGACTGAACAGTTAGCGACTGAGGATTCTGGATAAACTGAACATTTTGTGGTTGTGATACACTTGGATTCAAAGTCACATGACCAACTGTATGAATCACTTGACTTTGAGACTGATGGGAAAGCTGTTGCTCCATTATAACCGGTGCCATATGATGTAGGCTTGACATAATTGGGTGTTGCTGATTGATATTGTTCCCCTGGGTAATTATGACTCCCTGCGGGGGATGGTCCATTGTGGTTGTCTGATGATTGACCCATGTCCCTGCAACTAAGCCAGTGTCTCTAGAAGGATAGCCGAGTCCTGTAGTGTCCACTGTGTAGAGACCTTGGGAAGGTTGGCCAGTATTCCCATTCCTCTGTGGCTCATTCATTTCGCAAAGCTGAAACACATGTACAATAATCTGGCATGAATTAGTTGTAACCACAATATGTTTATATGTTGAAATTAGAATCAAGCTAAAACTTAAATGCACAATGCACCTTTGAATAACAGTGCTTATTTGTTGAATTTAAAAGCTAAAATTTAAATACACAATGCACCTTTGAAGAAACAGTGCTTATATGCTGATTTTAGAAGCTAAAACTTAAATACACAATGCACCTTTGAATAACAGTGCTTATGATATGTTGATTTTAGAAACTAAAACTTAATACACATTTGCACAAAAGAATAACAGTGCTTATCTGTTGAATTTAAAAGCTGAAACTTAAATACACAATGCACCTTTGAATAACAGTGCTTATCTGTTGATTTGATCTGCTTATTGTCTCAGTTGCAAGCCAAAAGTCGACACCCGAAATAAAAAAATGAGATGAGTGGGCGATAATATGTCTATATGAAATTTGAAAAATATTCATTGGATATTCTACTAGTTTTATCACTGAGTGCGTATAGATCATAATTTATTCAAATACTCAAATCATCAATGAACAAATACAGCTCATGCAACTAAGTGAAGATAGCCTATACATACCTAAATAACTATAAATAACTTTCAATTACAGCAAAATATTTGTAGGTCATTTGTTGCATTAGAATTACGAACAAAGTCTAAACTGAGTCTGGACTCGATTATGAAACAATGCCACACCTGCATCAATAGAATATCACTCCATCAGGACAAAAAATACCGTTTAAGCTTTTATAATTTACTCCACGTGTCTATAATGAGGACCAAATAAACATCCAGCTTTTCATAGTCTTACAAAGACATTCGTTCGGCATTTCATAGATAACGAACGTAACTGAGCGTGAATATCCTGAAAGTACTTCGTGAGGATTTATAGTTGATTTCTACGCTTATCAGGGACAAACCAGGTATAGTGTATATGCTGCTTTATTCTTAGGAAAGACAATATCACTCCAATCTATTGAAAAGTTCAGTATTTCCCATCGCTATGTTTTAAATAAAGTAAATAGTTGTGAAATCTAACTTCCGGTCAGTGGAAATTTGGAAAAACATGATTTCCGACTTCACAAGTCCTTCAATAACTTGGTACTTATAAAGGGAAGGGGTCCAACCTGTAATATACACAAACTGAAAAATCGAATAAAGAATTCCTTGTCATCTCAAAACAACGATGAAGTACATCATTTGATAGATAATTGGTACAGCAATGGAAAAAATAGATGCGATCAGAGTCATACAAGTCGAGAGTTTTAGAAGGATATTTGGGGTGTTACTAAATACCACCTAGGTGTCCCCTTGGGCACCTGGATTTCTAATTCCATTTTAAACCACATACACATTTTAAATATAGTATTATTTCCTTTGTCATATTAACTTGACATTTAATGGGCTTGAAATAATAATTTGTAGTCGAGGATATAGCAAAGAAGTTTCGAAAATAAAATGTAAAAAGTTTTATTGTTAGAAAAATGGGCACCTGGAATTTTGCTCATATGTACGGTTACTTATTTGTCATAAAACACCATTTATGCTAAATTGTGCATTTATATTTGAAATATATATCGTTCTTACTTCAGTTGCTAAAATAGTGAATTTGTAGCATTTTATTGTGAGCAAATAATGAAAGATTATTCTTACAAATGACTTTTTCGACATCCATTAAAATTTTTAAGACAATTAAAAATATCATAAACACACAGAAATATTTACACAAGTTCCACGAAAATACTTTATTATGTACCATATTAACACTTGGAAAAATGTTATCATGAAATGAAGTAGTAAAATATGCCATTAAGGCATTTCAATGGGGACACCTAGGTGTGGGGCACCTAGGTGGTATTTAGTACAACCCGATGTTCTGAAAAATTCGTGAAAAACATGATTCACTGCATGTAAAAAAATTATGTTATCTTATATTTTACGATGATTACTTACCTATTTTTATAAAACTTGTTGATCAATAGCTGCTTTATAATTAGTTCAACGTCGTTAAACTCAATAACGGCATTCTTTATTATTAGGAATTTTCTTGGGGCCGTTATTGAGTTTAACCTCTTTACTATTCTTTCCTTTGATGCAAGTTTTGGATCCACCGAAACCATTTTTCCGCGATAACATGCAACTGATACTTAAGGTCAGGGTGCATGATGGGAAATTTTCTGTATCCCTCAATTGAGTCACATGTTATTTTTCAAACAAGAATCACTCCTTCCCCACATTGTCTATATCTTTCACTTTTGCACAAAGAGTGCACTTATGTGCCTAGAAAAGACTTGTGAGAAGAATGTTTTGATAAAGTGTATAAAAAACAAGAAAATTCAGTGAAAAAATTCAGAAAATTTTTAGAAATTTTTTTCACTGAATTTTCTCGTTTTTTATACAATTTACAAAACAAATCTTCTCACAAGTCTTTTCTAGGCACATAAGTGCACTCTTTGTGCAAACTTGGAAGGTGTAGACAATGTGGGGAAGGAGTGATTCTTGTTTGAAAAATAACATGTGACTTGAATGATGCAGAAAATTTCCCATCATGCACCCTGACCTTAACAGCAATATAAAAACACATAACATCAAGCGATTCAACACAATATTATTGTATTTAATGTTCATTTATACAAGTAAAATGAGGTTAAACTTACCAATCTCTAAAATGACATTTCCGCATGTCCGTCGTTGTGTCTGTTCGTCCTGGGTTAAAATTTAAACTATTGAAACGAAATTGTTGTCAAATAGATTGATAATTATCAAGCAATTACTCGGGATAAAAAGATCAATTTTGAGGATAACAGGTATCTTTGATTGATTTATATAGCGCTTGTATACACGCAAAATAGTTATTAATTGCAAACCTACTGTTCGTTGATGCAGTGTCGCAATGACGGTTAATTCCTGATACGATTTGCAATTTCGATGTTACCGGAACTGACCGACATTTTCGTAAAATTCCAAACCTGTCTCCAATATTTTCGTAATTATGCATCAATAGGGTCTAAGGGGGATACGGGATGGTGTGTATGTATTTATAAGGTATGTATGCATGCTTGAATCACATTCTTTATGTAATATTACCATGTTTTCAGAGTTTAATTAGTTCCGCTTGTCGAAACCTGCGGAACGATTAAATTAACGCATCAAGGGCAAAATGATCATGGAGGTTAGACCTTGCCGGGGCCATAAGACATGTCAGATAAGAAACGAGGCCCAGGCTAGGTCTAATGTTGTTGGACTACTTTATAATATCCTGTGCTAGTTCAATATGTGTCAACAACTGTGTTATGTTTAGTAATATACTTAGAAATGTAAATTTCTAAAAAAATTTCAATATCCAGTCCCCGACATTTGTAAGTAGGCACGACTGCACTGAAGGAAAATTGTTGCAAGGCATTGCAGTGTCTCAGTATAAACACTGTGGCGGGCAGAATGCATAATCAAAAATTGTTGAATGTAGTCCCCATTTCAACGTAGATGAATCCAATTTTATTTTTAAAATATTATTATGAAATATTTATTATTTTACGTTTCCAAATCAAAATTATTAAATATTACAAGAAATCTCCGCGAAAAGAAATTTGAGTCAAAGTTTTGTTGATATGAGTTCACCGCACTTGGGGTTATCGATTAATATGCACAGTGCATATTAAAAACCCTACATATGGGTCCCATTTTGATGAAAAAATCCCTAGAACTGGGTCTACTTTTTTGTAAAATCCTGAAACTGGGTATTGTTTTTGAAAAAAAATCGCCGAAAGTGGGTGTTGTTTTTGAAAAATTACCTTAAGTGGGTCTATTTTTGAAAGAAACACCCTAGATGCTGGTCCATTTTTAGAGAAAAAATCCCTTGATGTGGGTAGATATTTTGTTTGAGTCTCTGCGGCACCCCCCTGAAAAAATTTGACCAGGTTGATCTTTTTAAGTGCTCATGAATGAATAATTCACATGCTCAAAATATCAAATAATCTGATGGGTTTGAACTTACAAATACGCATGTGCACGTGTGCCATGTTTTTTTGTATTCCTATTTACCTTCTGTGGGAATTGTGTTTAACACAAAGTTCTTGGAACGAAAAAAGTTCTGAAAAGCAAATGGAGGAAGCATAATAAAATTACTTGGTAGAATTGCTTAAAAGATTTTAGAGATTATTTTTGGCTCACACAGTGAGCCTATGGGATTGACCAGGCGTCCGTCCGTCTGTTGGTCCGTCCATCCATCCGTTGGTCCGTCCGTTGGTCCATCCATCCATCCATCCGTCAACATTGGCCACACAAATTAAAACTGCTATTCGGATTGAGTCATATCCACAGTGATTTTATTCATATCCATAATGCCTATTTAACCTATCATCGCCATTTCCCAAGTTCGCCTGGTTTCCGAGAAATTGCTGATTTTGACGTCAAAAAGTCAAATTTTCTGTAAATACTAGACACTTTGTTGAAGTAGAACTTTCAAATATCTTGTAGTAGTTGCTGTATATGCAACTTATGTCCTCTGAAGATTTCAAAGCTCTTGGAATCACAGTATTTGGTGTTTACTCTATAAAAGGACGGTTCTCGGTTTGGAGAAAGAAATTCATCAATATAAATGAGCATTATCCCTGCTTCGGACAAATTTGATTTTTTTTACATAATATAGATTTGAATGTCTTCTTTTGAATAGTCATAATTTAATTTGGGTAATATTTCTAGATTTTTCGCAAAAAAATATAAGCGCAGTACACTGATGAACTTTTTTCCCCAAATCGAGACTTGTATTTTATTGAATCGGTCTAATTGAGCGTTATCCCTGCTTCAGACCAATTTGTTATTTTTACATCTTGTAGATTTAAATGTCCTCTTTTGAATATTCATAGTTTAATTTGGGTAATATTTCTATATTTTTCATGAAAAAAATTATTAGCCCAGGAGACTGTTCTCCAAACCGAGAATCATCCTTTGACAAAAAGTAGGACTTAGTCATTTTCAGGAAACTTTCTTATGTATAAAGTCAATGGCAGGTTTTGTGATTGACAAGTTTCTCAAAGTTTGCCTTATACTTGATCATTTCTTGCAATGAATTACATCATAACTAGATTTAAGCATTCCCTACACATTGCTCAATATATGTCAGCATCAAATTTTTACCGTTTTTGAGATATTTAACGTCAAAAAACAGTAAAAATAAGTTATTTTTCAACTTGCTTCAACTTGACCAAATTTTTTTTTGAAAATCATCTACAAGTTACCAGGAGTTCGAATCTGACATTAGTTTTAGGATTTGACCTTCACTTGACCTTCAGTGACCTTTGAAAGGTCAAAAAAGTTGATTTTTCAAATTGATTTTTGGATGTAAATTTTGGTCAGCTTAATCACAAAAGACCTTACTGATCTCTAAATAAGTAAAATTTTCAAGGTCAAAGGTCATCAAACTAGGTCACACAACTGTGCTGTCTAAGTTTCTCAAAGCTCGAGACTACAAATCCAAATCAATATTTTTGTTCGAAAGTCAGGATATACATTCCTCTGAAGGTTCCAAACTGTGTGAGCAAAGGACCGTGGGTCCTATTTTTTTGCTTATATTAGCAAAATGTTTGCTTCATTTGTGCATTCTATATTTGAGATAAGAGTCTTAGGCATATGTAAACGAAAACATTTTTGAAGGAGCATTGTACTTGTTTTGAAAAAACACCACTTATTTATTAAGCCCAGCACTATGTATCAGTGCACAACAGAGTATTTCCAATATTATCCCAACTATAAAGTACTTAACAACTTTCTGACAACATGCTCGAATCTTTTTTCTAGGTGTCACATCTGTTTTGGACAAGAACGGAATAAGAGCACCACCTCTCAGCATTAATCAGCAATGGATTCAAATTCTGTCTAGTCCTAGGATCATGCAAGTAAAATGGCCACATCTGAATCTAAAACACCATCGCAAAATGAACGACATTGGAAAGTCGGGAAGCGATCTTTAGAAAGTGCAAAGAAATGTATAGAGGAGAAAAACTTTGGTCGGGCGTTTGCACATTTTCTTCTTGCACAACAACTTTTACCAAAATTGAAAACTGATGCTGAGATAAAGAATGATTTTGTGTATGTTTTGAGTCAATGGACAGCTGAACTGAAAGAGAAAGGTCGCATTGAGGATGTGCTGCAATGTTACGAGCAGGCATGTGAAATCTGCCCTGAGAATGAAGTTGTCCATAACAATATGGGATCACAACTTTTTCAGTAAGTCAAATAAGAAGAAAACATATAGGCACATGATATTGTGTTCTTTAAAAGATAAATGATTTGAGAATTGAGAATGTATTCTTATTGATAGATTTCAGGTTAGATAAACACAAAGTTGATGTTTTAAAAATGATAATGAATAGTATATACAATGTACTGTATGTGTATATTCAATCTATTGCAATATATTCAATATTTTATCCCAACAAATCTTTAATGCACTGCCCACATTTGTTTCAATAGACTCGGATACATTGATGAGGCTGCAAGTTGCTTTAGACGTGCTGTTCGTCTTTACCCAGAATACCTCAGTGCACGCACAAACCTTGAAAACCTATGCAGCCACTTAGTTGAGAGATGGCACTTTAAAATGCTAAATGATCGAAAAAGGAATGAATATTATCAACGTGCGATAAGTAGAGCAATTCAACAGGGCCATAGTGATATCCTTGATATAGGCTCAGGGACATGTATTTTAAGGTAAGAAAAAATGCAGCATTGGAATTGTCATCCTCCGATCACAGGGCTTCAAAATCCAGAATATATTCTTTCTTTTTACCCCCTGCGATAAGCAGTTACCATTTCCCCGATTAAGAACTCACAATCTGATTGGCTGTCGCAACACTGCATCAGAAATCATGTATAAATCAGAGCGCATAATAACATCACATGATTCAGTTAAATCGGGCGTTTCCAAATTGATTATAGCAGGGGGAAGGAGGTATGGATTCTGGACAACTGCTTAGGAGGATGTGGAATTGTGTAAATGTGCAATTCATAACTCAACTTGTCATTTGGGTAATGGGCTAAAAAGGGCTAAATTCATTTAAAGAAATACATACATAACAAATTATTAATTTAAAATACATGGTTAAGTAAAACTTAATTAAGTGAAAAATAAATATGTACTTAGACACACTGCTGAGTGCAAAACTTTTTTCTGAATATCTTTTATTTTATTGTATAATGTATTTATATATTTTTAGCATGATTGCCGCAGAGGAACATGCAGCTTCTGTTACAGCATGTGAGATGTCTAAGCCCATATATGAGATGTCATGTGACATTTTGGAAGCCAATCATATGTCTTCTAGGATTAACCTCCTAAATAAGAAGTCTACAGAGTTAGAGATTGGAATTGATATTCCGAAAAAGTCAGCTGTTACACATATCATTAAACATACAGAGAGTCATGTAGTTTTATTCTTTTTTTAAATATTAGGAAGATAATACAGAAACTTTAACTATATGATACAGGTGGATGATTAGATTGGGCTGGGCTACGACTTAAAGTTTTGGTAGGAATATAATAATGATTTGGGGATCAATTGTCAAAAACACTATATATTTTTGAGGCTTGACTGGAGAAAATATTTTAGTCTTTGGTATAATAATATCCGCATAATTCAATGGAATGAGACTACATAACTGACGATGTATTTCAGTAGCCAGTAATTAATGAGCATTTTGTGTTTATTTCTCCACCTCTCACTTAACTGGCTTGTTGCAATTTTTCAGAGTTTCTTTGGTTGTGACTGAGACATTCGATGCAGGACTTCTCGGGGAGCATATCTTATCTACACTCCACCATGCTTGGGATAAGCTCCTGCTACCATGGAAACCAGGACAAAATGGTGGCAAAGTGATCCCCTCTGGTGCTAAAGTATTTGCCTGTGCCATTGAGTGTAAGGCTATAAGATATCAAAACAGGTTTGTAGAAAAAGATTATTTATAGGTATAGATTAGAATAGTTTCTTAAGGTAGATTCGCACGATGAGAATTTGAATTTTATTTTCGAAATTATAATAACTAAGATGATTGAAATATAGAATATTGCATCATGAGTAAATCATTTCTCCTTCTTCCAGATTGCTCTATCCAGTACTCAGGGCCCAACCTGTGTATATTTTTTCCTCCTTATAGATTGCTCTACCCAGTACTTTGGGCCAACCCTGTATATATTTTCTCGTACTTTCAGATTGCTCTACCCTGTAATCAGGGTCCACCCTGTATATATTTTCTCCTTATAGATTGCTCTATCCTTTACTCAGGCCCCACCCTGTATATATTTTCTCCTACTTTCAGATTGCTTTACCCAGTACTCAGGACTCACCCTGTATATATTTTCTCCTCCTTATAGATTGCTCTATCCTTAACTCAGGCCCCACCCTGTATATATTTTCTCCTACTTTCAGATTGCTTTACCCAGTACTCAGGGCCCACCCTGTATATACTTTCTCCTACTTTCAGATTGCTCTACCCAGTGCTCAGGGCCCACACTGTATATATTTTCTCCTTATAGATTGCTCTATCCTTTACTCAGGCCCCACCCTGTATATATTTTCTCCTACTTTCAGATTGCTTTACCCAGTACTCAGGGCCCACCCTGTATATACTTTCTCCTACTTTCAGATTGCTCTACCCAGTGCTCAGGGTCCACCCTGTATATATTTTCTCCTTATAGATTGCTCTATCCTTTACTCAGGCCCCACCCTGTATATATTTTCTCCTACTTTCAGATTGCTTTACTCAGTACTCAGGACTCACCCTGTATATATTTTCTCATACTTTCAGATTGCTTTACCCAGTGCTCAGGGCCCACCCTGTATATATTTTCTCATACTTCCAGATTGCTTTACCCAGTGCTCAGGGCCCACCCTGTATATATTTTCTCATACTTCCAGATTGCTCTACCCAGTACTCAGGGACCTTGACTTAACAGGGGTCCATGTTCTATGCGAGACTAACAGTCAACAGGCAGATCAGGAGAGTTGTGAACCATACACTACAGAGAATCTTGCGCTGGTCCCTGGTGGATACACGAAACTAACAGATGTCAAAGAGTTCTGCACATTTGACTTTAATAGCCCTCAGGTAAGCATTACCAAGGAATACATTTAACCAACTAATGAGCCAGCATTGAACCCAAATGGTTATATTATAGATAAAAGGTACAGGATTTATCACTCTACTATACCTTGCATTTGGTGTTCATGAGCAACCCATTTGGCTGATTAGTAATGATTATGTTATTTGTTTTTATTTGTCTGTTCCTTATAAATGGTTTATTGAATGACTGTTAGATGTTAATAAGGTACATGTACTTTCAAAAATATACTTAACAATACAATTGGACAAACAGAGTATCTTATGCATTTCTATGGGTTAGGTATAGTGGAGTGTTGTATATATTATCAAATGCAAACATTGCATGTAAAAATCTGGAAAACCCCAGATATTTTCAACAAAACCCTTCTAGGTTGAATCACCACATGGACCAACTATCTTCTGCATGCACTCAGTTGAAATTACATTACACTTAGTTGAGATTGCATTGCACTTAATTGAGATTACATATTGCTCAGCTGAAATTAGATTACATAGCACTCATTTTAGATTACATTGTACTCAGCCTTGATTATAATTGGACTCAAATGAAATAACATTGCACCCAGTTGAAAATCCAGTTGCACCTCGCAATAGATATTTTAACTATTTAGAACATAGCTTTAGTCAAAAATCAAAGTTGAATTTAACATTACAGTTGAGAAAAAGTTCTAAATACCGTAAAACCTGGGAACCTGAAAATAGTGTTCATTGGTAGGTGTTTGGTAGGTCCACTTACAGAGCTTCAAAGGTACACAGGCAAATTACATCGGACCCCGTACACGCCCGTACGGAGCTCGTTGTGTCAACGGACCCTGTACAACCTCGTACGGGCCTCGTTACGAGTCTCGTAATTGCTTGTTATTTTCGAGCCTCGTTAGAGCTTGTGATTACAAGGCCTGTAATAGCTCGTAATTCTCGACCCCCGTACTTTACCGTACGGTGCCCGTAACGAGCACCGTAATAAATCGTAATTTTCGATCCCCATACTTGCTGGTACGGTGCCTGTTACAAGGCCCGTAATAGCTCATAATTTTCGAGCCGTGTACTTGCCTGTGCAATGCCCGTAACAAGACCCGTTATGGCTCGTAATTTTCAAGCACTGTACTTGCCCGTACGGGGCTCGTAACGAGGCTCGTAATTGCTCGTTTATTTTGATGAATTCTTTTTGATCAATGAAATAAAATACAGCATATATGAGAAATGCTCGAAATTGCGAGCCTCGTACATGCTTGGATGGGCCTCGGAAACAACAATTACGAGCATCGTACGAGCTCGCACGGCCCTCGAAAATGAGCTTCGTACGAGCCCGTACGAGGATGGTGCTCCTTTTTGCCCGTAATGACTAGTAATTCTCGAGGCTCGTACGAGCTCGTATGGGGCCCGATGTAATTTGCCTGTGTAACAGACCTTTGAATTGTTCCACTTATGAAGGTATTATAACATTATTAATATTATTTACAGGTTTTATTGTACTTTATATTCCAGGACATATCTAATCACATGATGCAGGGAATGAAGACAATGATCATCCCAGCTACACATGGTGGACGTTTGGATGCAATTGCAATGTGGTTTGACCTTGACCTTGGGAATGGAGTCACCTTGACAACTGCTCCTACTGGAGAACAGTGCTGTTGGGAGCAGGCAATTTATCCTGTACTGCCATGTCACTTTTCTAAGAAAGGTAAGTTATTGTTAAGACTTTCTAAATGTTGATCATTAATGAAGATATGAATAATACTAGTACTAATACTAGTATTTATTTATTTATTTATTTTTTGCCACCATCTTTCTATTTTCTTTGTTTATTTGCACTAGTTTATTATATCATAAAATTGTACAATCCAAACTTCTCAAACTTCCATAAAATGTTCATGTATTTCCTTATATTTCAGGCCCAATTGAACATTTCATTTTGAAAGAACACGATTCAATAGCTGTAGAATATGGTTGCCATAGTGATTGCCTCCAGTTCCAATGTACAGAGATCATCCGCCCTGCTATGACATCACACAAGACCTCACCAGACGTCACATCATTAAACCTCGGGCCAACTTCCGAAAACTTCAGAACATTTTACCTCGATAGACCCGAGATTGGACGTTTAAACGATATATCCTTAAACACCGCATACTGCACTGCTGTGCAAAAAATCTTAAAAACCAATCATTCAAACAATACATATAAACTAATCGATATAAGTCAGGGATTTTCCACTATACCGTTACAAGCATTGAACATGGGGTATCAATCTGTGTGTGTTCTGAACAGTGAAGCCATGAAGTATGCACCTCTTATAAAGCATCTGACTCAGTTACATGAGATAGGGTATAACAGGGTGAAAATATCAGAGGAAGATATTGCCCATTGTAAACCAGAGTATGATGTTATCGTCGCAGATGTCATAGAACCATGCGGAACCCTGAGACAGCAGATACTAGAGGATTTAGCATTAGCAAGGTAATAATGTATTAGATCTGCAAAATACATGTAGATTAGGAAAGACAATGAAATCTGTGTAAGTGGCACCTCATTGGCACCTTAAAACAGTGGAGTAACTTAACTTTGAAAGGTGTTCCACTTATTAAGATGTTCTACTTCCAATTTTTACCGTAGTGGAATACATGTTCATTGTTCTTGAATAGTTGCTATATAAATAATGCCCAATGTTTTCTACTGCAAGACTTTTATATTATTTAAAGCAATTTGTAAAATTATTGAGTATAAGCAATTCAAAATGATGGAGCATTAGCAATTGTATAATTATAGGTTAACGCCTGTTAAAGTCAACCGTTTTAATTATTCAAGTTAATATACTAACCTATAGTACCCAACCAATCATTTACTTTGAACTACAGGGTGACGTGCCTAAAGGAAGGTGGGAAAGTCCTCCCCTACAATATAGATGTCTATGCTATGTGTATTGAGTCTGCCTGTCTACTGGAGGATAGTTGTGTCGTTGACAATATTAGAACACTCAGCTTTGACATTGCATCCTTTATGAATGACTTCAAGGTATGTATCATGTGTCAGCAATAAGAATTATGATTTTAAGATTGACAAATGTTTTGCATTCTGTGGGTGGCATTTTGTGTTGCTTATGTGACGATTGTTACACAACTGCAATCAAGTAGTGACATTTTTGATGTTTATGCCTTGCGTGACCCCTTTCTTTACAGTTCTCTTAAATATTTCTGATTTTTAAGCAATTCAGGTGATATTTAGTCTAGTACATCTTATATTTATTTTTTTATATACAATTTTTGATAGTATTTTTGTGTAAAATCTGCTATAGGTTTAACAATCAATGAACTAACCAAGATATCAAAAAGACTCAATATTTATGACTACATATTACAGAAGAGGCAATGATATGAGAAATGATATGATCAACCCTATGTCAGACTGACTACCCTTTAAACCCCAAAAATGATCTTTTTCAGATGAGTACACATCTTGACATCAACCTGTCAACTCTTCCATACAAAAGACTAACAGACGCTGTCAGGATACTATCCTTCAACTTCAACGAACCGTTGCCTAGCAACAAAGACCTCCCAGGGTTCCTGACGCAAGTGACAAAATCTTCAACAGTTTGCATGGAACCAGGGACAATTCATGCAATTCTGTTTTGGTTTGAGATTAATTTGACGGAGAATTTAAAGCTCTGTACATTAGACACTGATCTCCATTGGAAACAAGCCGCAATAATCTGTCCGGAAAGTGTCGAAGTTGAAACTGGTGCTGAGATTAAGCTGAAGACGACATGTAAGAACAGTTGCATTGATATAAAACTTATATGAGTGGGTCACCATAAGAAGGGCAGCTCCTACATGTATGAACGGTTGCTTAATGTAGCTGTTTGTACAGTAAAATCTGTGTAATCTGAATGCCATTGGAACCAGTCAGATGTTCAGATTTTCACACGTCAAGTTTTTTTAAATGGAATTCTATGGCAGATTAAAAGAATTGGATCGGAGAAGTGTTCAGATCAAGAGGTGTTCAGATTAGACATGTTTTATTACGTGACAGGCCTCACACTTTGTGAAAAAATATTAAATTTCTCAACTATATTTGGGGTCTATATCTAGGTATGTGATATAAGTTAAGACCTTTCAATATGCTGTTGAGTACACTGACACATTTCACTTGTGTCTATTGAGAATTAGTATGCTTTGTACGTATTATTGAAAAATACAAGTGCAGAGTTCAGGGAAATAGTCCAGACTGCTAGGAGTTAATATAAGAGGAGAAATATCCCACAATTCATAGATGGACCATATATATACATGTAAAGATGAAACTATTCAGGTTTCTTTTAAACAATGAAAGAGAAAGGTTCAACTGTAAATTCTGAAATATTAACATCTTACATTTTCTTCTGAGTTTGATTTGGGAAAGAATTTTAAGGGCTGATCAGTGTCCTTGTGTAAAACAAAAAATGGCAGCTAGCTTTTTTCACCCACATCTAAGTATGATGTTCTATATTAAATATGGCCATGATGTATTGGTCAACGCCATTCTGTAAATGCAGGGCTTTAAAAGTCATACCTCCTTCAGAGGAAATATATTCTGAATCTGAGCTGTTCCTTGTATGGTCATCACAATATACTCTGTTTTCTTGTTAATTGAACTGCAAAGATACAAGGGGTGATCAATAAGTAATGGACACGTTTTTACAAAGAAGCTTATTATCAGTGAAGAATGAAGATACTCAAATAATTTACAAATGGCAGCTAGAAAACATTTTGATTCCTTATATTTGGGTGTAGGAGAGAAGATGTACATGTATTATCTCCAAAACTGAATGACAGGATTTTTGTACACTTAATAGTATTACTTGTATATTAATTAATTTAAAGTTAATATTCAATATAATAGCCCAATTCGTTGTATGTTTTTATCATTACTAGGTGTTATAATTCATCCAAATTATGAATTTAAATAAACTTAAAAAACTGTGCATATAAAGCATATAGCCACCTTTTGCCAGAGTATGACTTCATGCATGGTTTTTAAATGGAGTATAAGTCAATAAAAGTAATAAAATAACACATTCATTAAAGCTGCAAGCAAGCTGAAGTGTGACCACTTACAAGCAACTTTTGACCAACCAAGCATTACTTAAATTTTAATTCATTGTCCAATTCAATTTCTCGTATTAGAAAATATTATAGTTTAGGCTAGCCTACTACATGTCGTCGCATGAGAATAACTTTGTACTATCTCACATTTTTACGGAACTGAGAAATCAAGGTTTGAAAGTTTAGAGGTCTGTATCTTACTTAGTATTGCTATGTGAAACTTGATTTTTTGTATGTCACCTGGTCTCACCCTAGAGATATCTTATATGAAATATCATTCCTTGAAACAATTTACAAGATCCTTTTTTAAAACTATGGAAATGGAGTTGATACAATTTCCCACCGGAATAACAGCTTATTTCTAATTTCAAATTGTCATATCTGATATCAACTGTTTCAACCAATCAACTCTCTAAGAATTGGTCATGTGACTTGCAAAACTTGGAGTTATAACAATCTTATATTAAAACAAAGTATGCCAATATGCATGTTATTGTATCTAGAATGAAAAATAATGTTTTGCTTTGTAAAAAAGTCTTCAAAAACCAAAGAATATTATTTAATAAAATAAAGAAAATTCAATTTATAGAACTTTAAAATCAATTTCTCAAATAAGTACAATTATTTCTTTGGAATCTCAGGACACCCTTCAAAAAGAATTTATTGCCTTTGAAACTAAGGCAGAAGTACAATGTATTGAAACCAATGATGCCAATACGGTCCCCCACATATTTCCCTCGGTATAAACCCTGTAGCCTAAACCTCCCAGCACATTACAATGTAGCCCCTAAGGGCCGGTCCGCTGGTCATTATTAGGTTATTTTTGATACAGACCAGTTGATTTTTTCAATGGGTATAGGAGAATAACATTGCAACTGGTCCGTAATTCCATTTTGACCAGCAGGTTTCAGATCCTTAGGGCCTAAGACATAACCAATTTTTATTACATGCACATGGAAGAAATTTGAAAATAGAAAAATAAATTCTAATTCATTTTAGATTAATGAAAGTGATGTAACCTCGATTTAGGTAATCACATTTTGTTCATTGGGATGCAGCTATCATTATCCATTCATTTTCTGTTGTTTGCTACTCTGTGGAGTACAATTTGGAATTGAAGCAATAGTAGAAGTGGAGACTAAGAGTGGCTCTTTGTAAAGAAATTGAACCAATTTGTTACTTTTCCAAAATAAAATGTAGATGATCTAAAAACAATGATCCCAAAAATGCAAAAGAAAGGACAAATCTGAAAAACATACTAGTAATAAAATAACTAAAAAGATCCCAGATGTTCAGTGAAAAGCGCAAAGTAAATCATAGATGAAGAGAAAATAAAATAAGTGTTTTAAGGGACTATACTAACATAAAGATAACTCCTTATTGATATAGTGTATGGGCAGTAAAAGTTAAAGCTAGTTTAAATAGATTAGCTTTTTTCCACAAACTATAAAACATCATTTTGAAAGAGATTTCAATAGTATACAGACAGTGATTGCCTTTGAGCAATGTAGTGCAAAATATGACAGTTACTATTTGTTTTGATTACTATATATAACCTATTATTATGTACTCTATTTGAAGAAACAAATAAGTAGTCTTTCATTTTCAACATTTAATGATGACAGCTTCGTATATGCATTTCTATTGCATTTGGCCATTCAAACCCCTATAAGACCTGGTAGCAGGGAAGATAAAGGGTACTTTTGACTGCTCACATGATCTAATTAACTGGTCATTTGTACTTTTCACCTTCCCTGGTAGCGAGGATTTAGGTTTTCGAGGAAATTAGTAATTCTATTTCATATCATGTGGCCATGAATAATCCAATGAGCATCCATAATACAAAGAGTAATTGAGGGCATATAATTTGAATATGCATGGGATTACACATACTGTATCATTTTATTTTTTTGATCTACTTGTAATAGTTCTAAAACTAAAACATGAAAGGCCAGGCATGCAAACTGGCATGGTTTTGTGTTACAAAACATTATTTCATTCTAGATACAATAACATGCATATTGGCATACTTTGTTTTAATATAAGATTGTTATAACTCCAAGTTTTGCAAGTCACATGACTAATTCTTAGACAGTTGATTGGTTGAAACAGTTGATATCAGATATGACAATTTGAAATTAGAAATAAGCTGTTTGTCTGGAGATGGTACAATTTCACACTGAATTCTAGCTTAATGAGAGGGAATTGAGATGGGGCATGTATCTGAGATGAAAGCCTGTGTTTCAAATAGTAAAATTCCATGTCTATCTCAATTTTTTTGAAAATGGCAGTTAGTACAAAGTTATTCTCACGCGACGATGTATTATTCATTAAAAATTATGAAATGCTTGCAAGGGTATGATCTTTCATGGGCGTAGCACCTGGTACGCTGGGTACGCACAGGCATACCAGATAATTTCAAACTCGCTCCAGAGAACCCCACAGACCCCCTGAACGCTTTTTTTTGCTTCTCTCAACTCTTGCTCCCATTTGGGCTCCCGTGGTGGCGTACTACCTAGAAAAATAGTGCTACACCCATGTCTATGAATGTAATCTTTAAATTGTAACTTGTATTGTCATTAATTTTGAAAGATGCAATTACTCCTAGTTCCTCAAGATAAAATGTAGACTGGTGGGTGAGTCTATCATTCAGCATTATCTCAATTGATTTCTTTCATAATGTGCCATGTATGAATTCATTATTTTATACACTAATATGAATATATCAATTATTATTACCAATATCGAGTTGTGATTGAATACTACCATTTTATGCAGGCAAGTCCAATTTTAAAGGGATATATCATGGAAATACTAAGTGATAAATTGAGGTCATATATTTATATATATTATCTTGAATGTCATGATTTTGGAGATTTCCTAATAGAATATAGATGAAATATACGGGTATCACTATATTTATGCTTCATCTGTGGCTGACCGTATGCACTGTAAATATATGGTCTGATTGGTTGAGAGTATTTAGTCATGGTTCAATAACCTAAATAATGAGATAAATAGACTATTGTAATATTTACAAATCATTATTTTTGAATATATAAATTCATGAATATTTGTTCAATAATAGATTTAGTCTAATTATGTATTTTAAATTTTGTTCAATCATAGCAAAGACGTCACACCTAGTTGCAATTTGTGATCAAAGTTGTTCCATTTGATTCCAGTGTTTAAGGTTGTTGTGCATAATAAGAATTTTTATGTTGATTTCACAATTCCAATCATTACACACTGGAATAGCCTGACAACGGTAAAGTCAGATACCGCTGTCACCGTTGGTTAAATTTAAGACTTTATTTCAATCATAGAACATGATTAACTGTACAATGAGTATAAAGACACTTTGATTGATTGTTGTTCAAAAGGATGTCTAGGTGCTCTATTAAATATACAGTTCATGAAAATCTAATTGAAGCGACGGTTATGTCCGCCATTTGTGACAACGGTATCTGACTTTACTGTTGTCAGGCTATTCCGGTGTGATTAATGAAATGGGTAATATTTTTCACTTTTCTGTCCCTATTTACTTGTTATGTACATATATTCATGTTATGAGAGAACAGATAGTTTGAATAAATGTACATGTATTTTGATTAAATGCTGAAATGCTGATTTTTGTTTTCAACTTTTTGAAAGTGAGTAACTACGGTTAAGTGAAGTGTACAAAGTATGTAGAAGCATTAGTGTTTGTATAATATAAAACACAAAATCTTTGTATTTTTTATTAATTTTATACATAAATAAAATGTATATTTTGTAACAACAGTGTTGTATAATTTATTAATTCTTAGTTAATTCATTCAATACTAAAATGCTTTACGCAGATAAGCG